CGAGTGCCACCTGGTACGAGCGAGGTCCAGTGACTCCCACTACTGTGGCTGGCACCCAAGGGATGTCCCCCACATAGTTCCGGGCAAAGACCTGGTTTCCTGGGACAAATGACCGTGGTGCGTTGGCACAGCCTGGGGGTTCAGCCACGGCAAAGTCTGGGTGTAGCCGGTCGAGCGGTGACCTGAGGCGGCGGCCCATAAGCAGTTCAGCAGGACTCCTCCCTGTGGCCGCATGAGGGGTGATGTGTTGCACGAACAAGTATTCGGCGACCCGCTCATGCCAGTCTCCCTGGTCCAGGCGCGCCAGTGCGTCTTTTGTCGAGCGCACCATTCTTTCCGCTTGCCCGTTGCTGGATGGATGAAAGGGTGCCGTTAGGGCATGGCGGATGCCCAGTCCCAAAAGATACCGCTCAAACGTGCCTGACGTGAACTGCGGTCCGTGGTCAGAGACAAGGACATCAGGACACCCATGCGTTGCAAACAGGCCTCGCAGCACCCGGATGACAGCTTCGGTAGTGGTGGAGGGCATCAGGGCGACCTCCAGCCATTTGGAATAGGCGTCCACCACTACCATAAAGGTCCGGCCGTGAAAGGGGCCAGCCAGATCGATGTGCACCCTCGACCAGGGTGTCTTTGGCGTCTCCCAGGTGTGTCCCTTAGCTGCCGGTGGTGCAGGCCTCGACTCCTGGCACGCTTGACAGGCGGACACCCAGGCAGTGATGGCATCGTCCATATTAGGCCACCAGACGTAACACCGAGCCAACGCCTTCATTTTGACAATTCCCAGGTGGCCAACGTGCAGAGCCTCCAGGACGCGCTGACGGAGTCCCTGGGGAATCACGACGCGGTCTCCCCACAGCAGGCAGCCACGATGAGCTGAGAGTTCATGTTGTCTGGTTGCGAAGGGCTGGAACTCCGATGCAAAAGGCCCTTGTGGCCACCCCTCCACACCCAGTTGAGCACCCGGCTGATGGTGCGATCCTGGGCAGATGCGGAGGCCACAGTGGCAGCCGATACAGGCGCTGCCGGAAGATCCTCAATCAGAAGGAGCGATGAAGCTGGAGCCGGGTCTTCCACAAATGCTGGAAGAGGGCAACGGCTGAGGGCGTCGGCATGGCCCATCGATTTCCCCGGGCGATGGATGAGCCGGTAGTGGTAGGCAGCCAGGAAAACAGTCCATCGCAGCATGCGTGGTGAGAGGACCGGTGGAGTTGGACGATCACCGGCGAGGAGGCCCAGGAGTGGCTTGTGGTCAGTGATGAGGTCAAAAGTCCTGCCATAGAGGTATTCATGGAACCTCTTCACTCCAGCCACAAGTGCCAATGCCTCCTTGTCGAGCTGGCTGTAATTCCGTTCCGTCGGAGATAGTGTCCTGGAAAAGTAGGCGAGCGGTGCTTCTCTTCCATCTGGAAAACGGTGACTAAGGACAGCACCGATGCCAAAAGGTGAGGCGTCGCAGGCAAGGACCAGCGGCCTGGATTCACTGTACTGTACCAGCACACTGTCTGAAGAAAGGAGAGCCTTGACCGCGTTGAAGGCCGCCGTCTCCCGATGACCCCAGGCCCAAGGCGTCTTAGTGCTAAGGAGTCGGTGAAGAGGCTCAGCCACTGTGGCTTTGTGGGGCAGGAACATGTTATAAAAGTTCAGCAGCCCCAGGAATGCCTGCAACTCCGTTTTGTTCTTTGGGGTGGGGGCCTGCTGGATAGCGCGGATCTTGGATGTGGTTGGATGAAGACCGGAGGCATCGATAAGATAGCCCAGGAACTCTACCTGTGGAACGGCGATCTGGCACTTCTCCCTCTTTACCTTGAGCCCGGCCTCCTGGATCCTGGTCAGCACGGCACGGAGGCGCTCGAACAGCTGCTGGTGTGAGTCTGCAGACACCAAGACGTCATCAAAATATGGTACCACGCCCAGAAGCCCTTGCAGGAGACGCTCCATAAGGCTTTGGAAGATGCCAGGAGCCACACTCACCCCGAACTGCAACCGGCGGCAACGGAAAGCCCCCCGGTGGGTGACGATCGTCTGGGCTTCAGCAGTGGCATCATCGACTGGCAGTTGTTGATAGGCTTGGGCAAGGTCCAGCTTAGCGAAGACCTTACCCTCACCCAGGGAATGCAGCAGGTGTTGGACAACAGGAACCGGATAAGTGTGCTGCTGAAGTGCCTTGTTGATCGTGCACTTGTAGTCAGCGCAGATTCTCACCGACCCGTCTGGCTTGACAGGCGTGACGATGGGGGTTTCCCACTTTGCGTGGTCAACCGGCTCCAAAACTCCTTGGGCGATCAGTTTGTCCAGTTGTTCGTCCACCTTAGCCTTGAGAGCAAAGGGAACCCGGCGTGGCTTTAGCTTGATGGGGGCGACTTGTGGATCAAGGCTAAAGGAGATGGGCGTACCTGTATATTGGCCCAAGGTGCCGTCAAAAACCTCGGCAAAGTCTTTGACCAGACCCTCAGTCTCTGCGTTAGAGATGCAGTTGATGCCGGTGACTTCCAGGCCGAGGGCATCAAACCAGTCTAGCCCTAGGAGGCTTGGCCGCTGACCTTCGACCACCACCAACCGGAGCAGGCCCGAAAAATCCTTGAAAGCGATCCGGAACCGGCCAACGCCTACCACGGGAATGTCGTTTCCCTGGTAGTCTCTCAGGTGTACGCGGTGAGAGTCGAGTTGCCTTTTGGACACTCTGGGTACCAGTCTTTTGATGGTGCTCCATGACACGATGGACAGGGCAGACCCGGTGTCGATCTCCATGTCACATGGAGCTCCTTCAATGAGCACCGTGACGTTCAGCTTGCGTCGCGTAGGCGAGTCGGTTTGGCCAATCGTGGTTCCAGACGGGCAGCGGCAGTTGGTGAGAGCGAAACAACTTTCCTTGGCAGACTGGAGTGAAGACTTGGACTTGCGAGTCGATGAAGGGGGGGTGTCAGACGGAGCCGATCGGCAGACCTTAGCGATGTGGCCCCTTCTGGAACACTTCCTACAGATGGCGTCTCTGAATCGACACTTGGCACGGGAATGGTTGCCTCCGCAGCCAGCACATTCCGGTTGGCCCTTGGACTTCTGTTGGAACTTCCTGCGCTCCCGCTTTGTCTGGTGCACGTCATCGTCTTCACTGGAGGATGCCTCATCACTGCTGGCCTCTTCATGATGCACTGGAACTGGCTCCCTAGCAAGACGCGGGCTGCTGGACTTGCGGATCTCCTGGGCGGAGCGTTCAGCAGCTTCTGAGGCCACAGCCTCCTCAATGGCTTTCTGTAGCGTGAGGTCTGGCTTGGCTAGGAGGCATCGTTGCAGATGGATGTCCCGGACCCCGCAGACGATTCGATCCATCAGGGCATCGTCTAAGTCTCGGAACTCACAGTGCATTGCAGCCTGTCGCAGGGCGGTGGTGTAGTTGTTGATTGACTCCCCCTCTGCCTGGTTCCGGTGGTAGAACGCATGGCGGGCAGCAATCTTGGACGGCTTTGGTGCGTAGTGGTTGCGGAGCTTCTCTTGGATCGTGTCCCATGGTGTTGCCTGGACTGCTTCAGGCGCAACCAACGCTCGGGCCGTCTCAAACACCTCAGGCCCACAGAGGCTGAGGAATACGCCCCGCTTCCGATCCTTTGATACTGCTGTCAGCTCGTTGGCTTGGAGGTAGCAGTCGAACCGAGCGAGGTAGGAGTCCCACGATTCAGAGGCTGGCGCAAACGGCGGTAGAGGCACAAGTGAAGCCATGATTCCGATGCCGGCGTGAAGGGCGATGGATGGAACACAGTGCTCTAGCCAGAACAGTCAGCTCTGAATTGGTTCTGCCCAGTGATTTCGCTCAGTGATTTCGCTCTGTGATTCAGCTCAGTGATTCAGCTCAGTTCAGAGGCTGGCCGCATCTGGCTGTGCTCTGATGTCCATCTATCCCATCCTCGTCGCCAGTGTTAAGTCGTGGGTTGACATAGCAGCCGGCACAGCGATTTCTTCAAGTAGCTCTTTATTATGGTAAGCTGGAATACAACTGACTGCGACAGCTCAGCCGGCCTGTATTTATAGGCAGCCGGCTGTCAACATTGTAACCACAACAGCCCAGAGTTCCCGCCTAAAATAACTGCCGCGGACCTGAGTGAAAACTATCTACAGACCTGAGTGAAAACTATATACAGTATCCCCCTGTTGGCCCAGGGTGAAACTACACTACATAACAATCTCTATGCAGGCTGGTCTGATATCTGACTTTGAAGCTGGGTCCTGTGCATATTTATGCACAGGTAAGTGCTGTTTCCAAAGCAGAGTTAGAAATGTATCTGTCTAAGCTGTGTGGCTGCAATCCTATACATACATTTTGGCATGTGTGGCAGATAGAATAAGAATCACACACACACACACACACATAGATACATACATACATACCTTATGTGGGAATACTCCATTCCAGTTGTCTTTCATCCAAAAATGCATAGGATTTCGCTGTGATTATTTTGACCCCATATGCTGCAGTTCTGTGCTATCTTGCATTGGAGTTGATCCCAGCAACTTAACATTTGAGTCAACATGCTTAAGGGTTGGTCGTATGTTTCAAAAGCGGAAATTGGCACCTACTTCTTAGCAGAAAGCTTCATACTTATGCATGTCTTTTACGTACAAATCCTAGTGAACTCTTTGAATTTACCCTGTTACCTTGCCACAAGTGCGTGACTACCATTCCTGCATGCTTACCTGGGAGTAAGCCCCATTGAATGCTGGGCAACTTAACTTCCAAATAAGCACAATTCCCACAGCAAACACAACCCTGTGTGCGTTTAGCAAGTCACATTACCTTTTACGGTCATTGCCTCTCAGCCTAATTTACCTCGCAGGGTTGTCGTGGAGGGGGGATTAAAGGAGATTGGGGAGAACTATTCACCATCTTAAACATCTTGCGGGGGGGGTGCGGGAAAATATGGGACATAAATGAAATAATAAACCCCTGTGGGTGCTTGCCTTAGGGAGAAAAGCAGCAAAGTTTACTTCCGAGTAACGCATGCAATGCAAGCGAAATGGGTTTTACCCGCGGCGGGGGCGGGGGCGTTGTCACCTTGCCACAACTACATGCTCCGCGGGAGGGGGGCGCCCTTCTCCCCCCACTGCGCTGAGGCTTAGCCGGGGCCTGGAGGGTAGGCCTCGTTGCCATGGTGACCGCGGCCTAGCTTTGGGCTCGGGTAATCCGAACCGGCTCTCAACTGGCGTTGCCGAGCTCGCATGGAGGGAGCCCAGCCGGTGAGTACGGAAGGGGGTGGATGCGGCCCCTCCGGGGAAGGCAAAAGAAGGGCAGCCGGGAGTAGCGGGGAGCGGAGCGTGAGCTCTCTCCTTCCTTGCCCCGGCGAGGCTGTTGGTCGGGAGAGAAACAAAACACGACAAGCGCCTCAGAAAAGAGCCCCGCGGCATTCGGCCGAGAAGCAGCGGCCACGGAAGCCCCCGGCGAACCTCCCCTTGTGCTGCTGTCTTCGCACCGACAGCGAGAGGTAGACTGTGCCTGGCCAGGGGAGGCTCAACAGTGAATTTGCCTGACAAGATACATATCTGCTGTAGATACATTTCTGCCCTTTTCGTAGAGTTGGAAGGGACCCAAAGTCACCCCCAAAACCCTTTGAGGTAGGTTGGGCCGTGAGAGAGGATGACCGGCCCAAGGCCACCCAGTGGCCGAATGGTGGGATTTGAATCCTGGTCTCCCAAGTCTTGCCCAAAATTTTTAACCACTACATCATACTGGCTAGATTAAAAAAACATCCCTGCTGGGTTAATGAAAACTGGAACAAGATCGCTCTACGCTGCCAAGTTTCTGTTTCGTGTAAATTTCTTGTAAAAGTGCACCTCTGAACTGCTGCACACACACACACCCTGCCCTGCCCTTGTTTTTCTTTTGTGTGAGATTCTTTAAAACAAAAAAGCCAACAACTTTATTTAAACAATTACAAAAAAAAGTGATTCCTGGATCGGAATATCAAAAGTAGGTTTTGCATCATACATGCGTATTCAGGAAAAGGGTCCATTAAGACAACCTGATTTCCATCATCAGTGCATATAGACAATTTTGTGCATCTGTTTCAAAAGTGTAAGAAATAAAGTCCCACCATATAATGTGAAACCACTCCAGGTCTTCTGACCCCCTGGAGATCGGGAAGGTTTCTCCGAAAAACCCTAGAGTCCATGTATTTTTATATTTGTGTTAAATGTCAGTGCTTCAAAGTTTTCCACCATTGTGGCAACTGAGATTCTGGGTGCAGCCAGCATCCACGTTATCAGATCTTTTCAGGTGTGTATTACACATTTAGCCCCCCCCCCCCCGGAGATTTAACAAACATTAGAGATTTAAACTGCAGTTCAGAATTTAGAAACCAAGGAGCATTCCCACCAAAGATAGAAAAATGTGCCAACAATCTGGCAAGAGCCCAGATGTTCTTCTAGATGTGTCTTGAATGTTTTGGAGACCAGTGTTGTAACTGGCCAATTGTTGCAGATAATGCGGCTGTTAAAGATGCAGCTACATGGACTGGTTGAAAAATTGACAATTGCAGCTGATAGATGTTGATTTACAAGATGTGGTGAGGGGCAGTAACTTTGATGGCTTCAAAAGGGAATTAAATGCATTAATTGAAAGGAGGAGGAAACATAGGATTCTTCCTTACATACCGAGCCAGGCCCTTGCTCCTCTTTACTCAGTAATGTCTACAGTAGGGATTAGGAAACTATGGCCTTCCAGATGTTGCTAGTCTTCCTTGAGCCAGCATAGTCAGTAGCCAGGAATGTTGGGAGCTGGAGTGCAATAACATCTGAAGAGCCATAGGTCCCCTATCCCTAGTCTATGTTGACCAAAAGCCCCTCTCCAGGGTTTCTGACAGGGAGCATTCCCCAGCCCTACCTGGAGATACCAGGTACTGAACATGGGACCTTTTGCATGCAGAGCATGTGATTGCTTGCTTGCTTGCTTATTTTGTATACTGCCCTTCATCCAAAGATCACAGGGCAGTTCACAACACAAAAATACAAAATGAGAACACGAAATACATAATAAAACTAGAACCAAAACAAACCAATAACCCCCCACCCACAAACACATTTTAAAGGCCATGGAATGTTCAATCAGCCAAAGGCCTGGTTATAGAGAAATGTTTTCGCCTGATACCTAAAGATATGTAATGAAGGCGCCAGGGAGCCTTCCTGGGACGCGCATTCTACAAACGGAACCACCACATAAAAGGCCCATTCTTGTGTTGCCACCCTCTGAGCCTCTTGTGGAAAGGGCACGTGAAGAAGGGCCTCCAATGATTAACACAGGGTTTGGGTCGGTTCATATGTGGGGAGGTGGTCCTTGAGGTATTGCAGTCCTGAACCATTTAAGGCTTTATAGGTCAAAACCAGCACTTTGAATTGGGCCCAGAGATTTGTCCTTCTGTGGCGCTCACTCGTAGCCAAGTAAGATTGTCTTCCATAAACACGGTTTTAACAATGAGACCGTAAGTGACTGTGGAGGCCAATTCTGGATCCACATGTCCTTCCACAGTGGTTTCTGGGCGGGAGTTGATAATGGTGCGGATTTGCCAAGCGTGCCTTCCTCTTAGCACGTTTCTCCCTTACGTTCTGAGGTCGAGTGACTTCAAAGCCCATGACACCTTTGGTAAAGCCTGTTCTCCAACTGGAGCACTCGCAGGCAAGTGTTTCCCAATTGTTGGTGTTTATACTACATTTTTTTAGATTTACCTTGAGACAGTCTTTCAACCTCTTTTGTTGACCACCAGCATTATGCTTTCCATTTTTAAGTTCAGAATAGAGTAGTTGCTTTGGAAGACGATAATCAGGCATCTGCACAACATGACCAGTCCAACAAAGCTGATGTTGAAGAACAATTGCTTCAACACTGGTGATCTTTGCTTCTTCCAGTACACTGGTATTAGTTCGCCTGCCTTCCCAAGTGAAGTGTAAAAATTTTCGGAGACACCTTTGATGGAATCTTTCAAGGAGCTGGAGATGGTGTTTATAAGTGGTCCATGTTTCACAAGCATACAGTAAGGTTGGTAGTACAATAGCTTTGTACACAGTGGCACCTGCCCTGTGGAACGCCCTCCCACCAGATGTCAAAGAGAAAAATAACTACCACACTTTTAGAAGACATCTGAAGGCAGCCCTGTTTAGGGAAGCTTTTAATGTTTGATGTATTAAAGTATTTTAATATTTTTTTGGAAGCCGCCCAGAGTGGCTGGGGAGGCCCAGCCAGATGGGCGGGGTATAAATAATAAAAATTATTATTATTATTATTATTATTATTAAACAAGCATTTTGTTTTCCTACAAGTGTCCTGGTCCTCAAACACTCTGCACTTCAGTTGGGAGAAAGCCGCACTCACAGAGCTCAGGTGATGCTAGATTTTGGCATCAATGTCAGCCCTTGTGGAAAGATAAGTGCCCAGGTAGGAGAAGTGATCGACATTTTCCAACGCTACACCATTGAGTTGGATTTGTGGCACTGCAGAAGGGTTATTTCGCACTTGGTGGTTTTTTGCACTTTGGTTTTTTGGATGTTGAGTGATAGGCCAAGTTTTTCGTAAACTTCTGCAAAGATATTTAGGATGGTTTGGAGGGCATCCTCTGAGCGTGTGCACACACTACGTTGTCATCACCATACTGAAACTCTATGACGGAAGTTACGGTAACCTTACTCTTTGCTTTCAGCCTGCTCAGATTGAAGAGCTTTCCATCTGTTTGATATAAGATTTCTTCTCCGGTGGGGAGTTTCCCTTGGACAAAGTGTAAGATCATGGCAATGAAAATAATGAATAGAGTTGGTGCAATAACACAACCCTGTTTAACACCTGATCCCCCTGTGAATGGTTCACTTTGAGAGCCATTGTTATCTGTGATTGTTGCTGTAATATTATCATGGAGGAGCCGAATGATGTTCACAAATTTATCTGGGCAGCCAATTTTCAGAAGGACAATCCACAGGGCATTACGATTTACAGTGTCGAAAGATACAGCCTGCTCCACAGAAGAGAGATCTATCCATAGCTGTTAGCCACGAGGGTTAGCAGAATGTTTCCAAATACAGTTGCTGAAGCAGTATAGCTGAGAAGACTGAATATAATAAATAAATAAAAATATTTATTAATTGTTTAGGGAAGACCCCTTTTCTGATTCATTTACATTCCTTTATACAGGAGCAAGCACATATAGAAGACATAACTCAGCAGCTCAAGGAAGAAGGGGTTGACACTACAGCGCCTGCAAAGGACCAGCTCTGTTATGTCTGGAGTTTGTTCCTACGTAGTCAAGAGGAGTTGCATTCTGCTGCCGGAGAGTTAGAGAAACTCAGGCGACAGCAAGTGGAAGAGATGAGAGAGGTAGGTGAGAAGATTGTCAGCCACTGGCTGCTGACACTGGAGTAGGCCAACCACTTCTAAAGGGTTTTTCAAAGGTAGATGCTTTCAGGTTTACAGCCCTTGGGATTGTTCCAAGCTAGGTGTGGACAATTTGCTCAAGATAGAAGTCCATGCTGAAGAACTTCCCACAGCAAATAAGTATTGGGTACATGGACTGAACATACGTTGTGTGCCATTTTTATGCATATGGTGGATGTTACACCACAGTTGTTGGGCATGTTGTGCTTATTTTACAATGTTTTTTATTCTGAAAGTGGCTGCTCTCAAGGTGCCCAGACTACAACGAGAGGGGCATGGAGGGCCTGTCCTCTGGGCCATAATGTTAATAATGTGCAGTATAGGACCTGGGCTTGTTTATGCATTACATTCCATCTTTGGCACAGCACAGGAACTGAGCTTTTAGCTCAGCTTCTCTCAACCGGGACTGAGAGGAGTTGTGGTTCAGAACCCACAGAGGGTGACCTGTTAGCGAAGGCTGATATAGCTGCTGTGTGAACATGTTATAGAAGTCTGTGGTTTGTTTCTGTCCCAGCACAAATCTTCTAACAAAGCTGGAGCATGTTTGAACTGTACATTTTAATCTTCCAGGCTTACCGTGACAGCTACTGGGAATTGATGTGGTTTCTCCAGAGAGGGCTAGCTTTGTGTGAATGAGTCCCAGTTCAGCCCATTGCTTATCCCTCTCATATTTTAGGGCCTCCCAAAGATGTCCATAAACACAGCTCTATCTTTTTGTCCCTTTAACAAAAAATCCTACTTACCTTGGCATGGGGCAGGGGAGCAAAATTTTCCATGATTTCTGTTGGTTTCCTGGTTTTTGTTTTGGAATTTGCATCCGGTTGTCATAGGTGTTTGGTATGTTGTCAATAGGAGAGGAAAAGTACTCATAGTGCATAGCTCACAGGGAACCTTCCTGTGCAAGGTCTCTTGAAAGGGACAGGATTTGCACAGGATGGCATCCTTTGTTCTTGGGCAAGTCCCGTTTGATTCAGCCTGGCTGGTGATGGGAATCGTTCTAGGTGGGTTTTTCCCCCTGTGGCCTTCAAAGAGAAGAGCAAAAATAATAGGAACAGCAGGTGGTAGGGTCTTTCTTATGTCTGACGCAAAGGATTGATTGCGTTTCTCAACTGTCGTCAGCTTGACAAGGTGAAATTTAGATCTTTGCCATGTGGCTTGAATGTCCACAAAGAGAAAAATCTGCCCACATCACAGTTGTAAAGAACCCCCTGCCCACTGTGAGCAACAGAAGGCTGTGTAAGCACATCTCCTCCTGCTTTGAACAGAGGATGTCTGTAAAATATGTCTGGAGATATTTAATATGCCATTTGACTTTTTTGTGCTAATTGAACGGAAAAGGAGCAAAATAGATGTCTCAGGTTGGTGGTTTTCCCAGACTTGAAGGACGCCAGAATCATCCGGCTGGATAAGAGCCAAAAGTCCATCTCAGAAAAGTGTCCTGGTTCCCCACAGTGGCCAGCCAGATGTCTCCTGTGTCACCATTTGCTGGAAACCACAGGAGGGGAGAGTGCTCTTGTGCTCGAATCCTGCTTGCTGGTTTCCCACAGGCATCTGGTTGGCCACTATGAGAACAGGATGCTGGACTAGATGGGCCATTGGTCTGATCCAGTAGGCTCTTCCTATGCTATTATGTTGCCCACTCCAGGAGATAGGGCAATTTCCCACACCCCCTTACAGGGCCTGGAGTGTGGGGTGGCTTGCAGGGATGATGGCAAAGCTGTTTGCTTTGGAACTGCCCCCTCAGCATAGAAAGCTGGTTGTGTGGACTAATGGGCTTCCAACGTGGCAAAAGCCCCTTGTATGAATGGAGAAGTATGTTCAAATCCTCGAATCAGCAAAGTGTTTCAAAGAGACAGTACAGACAGCAACCATTTTGTGTGGCTTTTCTGTTCCTGGCCCGCGCACCATTCACATTTCTGGAAATGTAAGAATTAAAAAAAAAGAAAAGATGGGACCCTTACGCTTAAGGAACTGACAGTCTAAAATGACAGTTGGAAATATATAATTTAAAAGTGATCCAGGTCGTTTCAGTTCCTACTTGCACTGCTCAACCGGTCCTGGATTGAATACGACCCTTTGAACATGTGCACATTTCATTGGATGTGTCCTGCTTCAGGGATGCCAGGAGTCCACTTAAGAGATGGTCAGATCACAGTCTGAGGCCAAGTGCTTGTGGAAGTGTCAACAAGCACAACCAGACCTGGACTCCTTTGGAAATGATAAAGCGGGGAAGAGCCTGTCAATTCTTATCAATGCCAGATAGGGTTGGAAATGCCTCTGCCTGAAGCCTTCCTGAAAAGCTGCTGCCATTCAGTGCAGACAATACTGAGCTAACAGTATAGGACAGCTTCTTTAGTTCTAGTGAAATATATTGGTGTGGGCAGGGGGCTTCAGGCTTCCCTTGTCTTGACCTTAAACTCTTGTTGATTCAAACTTTAGATCAGTGGCTTTCAACTGTGTTTTGTTGGTTTTTTCCATTTGGTTATAAGGGGAAGATCAGTCATGATGGATCTATGTGCCCCAAAAATGGTGTGTTCTTTCTCCCCTGTGAGAGGTAATCTGCCTCTGAATAGCAGTTGCTGGGATTCATAGGTGGGAAGAGTGCTGCCACCTTTGAAAAGTGGCACTCCAGACCTGCTTGTAGGCTTCCCTTTAGGACATCCAGTTGGCCACTCTTTGACAGTGGAGCACTGGATTAAATGGGCATAATCCAAGAAAGCTACCTGAATTCTCTGTGATGTGCAGGAGTTCTCTGTGGCAGATGTACCAACGGTCCCATGCCCACCAGTTAACATGGAAATTCTTCTCTAGCACTAGACAGTTTGAAGGCTTCTTCTTTAGCTATGAACGGCATAAATCCATTCTGATCTAGGGCACTCTGAAGATTTCTCAAACATGTGAAAATCCACATGAAGGTTAACCTCAGTATTGAGCAGAAGGTAGGACAGAGCTTTCCAAACTGTATGTCGTGACACATTAGTGTGTCGGCTGCAGCGTATACGTGTGTCACGCAAATGCTCTCTACACTATTCCCAGGGCTGGAAAGGGTTTAGTTTTACCTCCAGTTTGCTAGTAAAACTGAATTGCGAAATGATGCATGTGTAAGAAGTGTGTCACCAACATGAAAAGTTTGGAAAGCTCTGGTGCAGGGAGTCCCATAGTGTTTTCAGGCAGGGCACTCGTAGGGATGGACTGAGCAGCCTAATTCTGTTTGTTCTCTGACTCACTGGGTGCTAAGACATAGGCCTGTGCCATTCTGTATTGTACAGCTTCATTGAAAAAATGTGCCCCAAACCTGCATTTAAATGATATGTATTTTATATGGACTTCTAAACATAAAATACATACGTTTTAATGCGCTCATCTATGTGTTACACATTTTGTGTGCCTTATTTTAGCTAAAATATATATTTTTGTGTGTGCCCTTCCTTTTGTACATTAAACCGCATAGTCAGATCTGGAGAGCTGCACGATCTGACAGGAAGTTGCATTGTGATCCTGAAGCAAGTTCAGGAGTGTTGAAGTGAGTTGGTCCGCTGAAAAAACCCATTTGTCACAGCAAGAGTTAAGCAAAGCAATGACTCCATCTGCTGACAGTTAAAGAAATAACCTAATTTCAGCACAGTGCAGATTAGTATGGGTATATGGTCTTTCAAACAACCTGATCCCAAATAAATCAGGCCTTTAAAGTTTAATACCATCGCTTTAAATTGAGCCCAGAAACAAAAACTGGGTTTTGCCATAGAAGACAGGAATGAATGAATGCATGAGCGAAAGAGTTTCATTTATTAGCTGCTGGGAAAGACCTATGCCTGAGACCTTGGAGCGCTGGTGCCAGTCACAGTAGATGTTACTGCTGATGGGAGCTTCTGGCAGAAAACATGCAGCACAGTTGTTAAAACAGCTGCCCAGGCTGCCCATTTACTAATGACACAGGTTCAAGGGCTTTGTGTTAATTTACAGCTACCACTTAAACCCGTCAGTTGGTGAGATAATCTACAGCAGCATCTCTGCATAGCTGTCAACTTTTCCCTTTTCTTGTGAGGAATCCTATTCGGAATAAGGGAATTTCCCTTAAAAAATGGGAAACATTGACAGCTATGCATCTCTGGTATTTCCTCGAGTTGATGAGGCTCATTTGACAACAACAAGAAATGGAACCTTTAGTGTCATCGGTCAGGTTCTGTAGAACTCTTCCAGTAGTGATTCAGGCACCTTCTATACCAGTATTGAAAAGCCTGCTGAAAACCTTTCCTCAGGGCCTATGCAGGCAATTGAGAGTTCATCCTTCTGCAGTGGTTTATTGATGCTCGTTTTTAACTTTCTTGCTTTCAAATTGTTTCCCCCTTTTTTATGCTTTTATTGTGCGGTTTTTATCTTTTTCATGTTGTAAAGTGCATAGATATATTTTTATGATTTAGCGGCATGTACTTTTAAATAAAGGGACGCGGGTGGCGCTGTGGGTAAAAGCCTCAGTGCCTAGGGCTTGCTGATCGAAAGGTTGGCGGTTCGAATCCCCGCGGCGGGGTGCGCTCCCGTCGCTCGGTCCCAGCGCCTGCCAACCTAGCAGTTCGAAAGCACCCCCGGGTGCAAGTAGATAAATAGGGACCGCTTACTAGCGGGAAGGTAAACGGCGTTTCCGTGTGCGGCTCTGGCTCGCCAGAGCAGCGATGTCACGCTGGCCACGTGACCCGGAAGTGTCTCCGGACAGCGCTGGCCCCCGGCCTCTTGAGTGAGATGGGCGCACAACCCTAGAGTCTGTCAAGACTGGCCCGTACGGGCAGGGGTACCTTTACCTTTTTACTTTTAAATAAATAAATAAATAAATGGGCAAATAATGCAGCCTGACCTGTCCTTGCTGATTGGGAATCACAGACTTGCTTTGTCCTTCTCTTTTCAGGTGGAAAATTACGTGGCCCACATCCGTATGTTGACAGAAGCACGGGATTCTTTGGCAACTGCATTTGAGAGAGAAAATGCGCAGCTTAGGGTGGAAGTTACACAGCTACAACTTGAGCAAGGTACTCTCTCTCTCCCTCACTTTGCTGAATGTGTCAGATCCAGCACCGTGAAGATGAGACCCCCCTCCCAAAAGTGTTCCCTCAGCTAGCCCATTGCTCTCAAGGATCTTGATCAAACTGGAAAGTGGGGCATAGACCTGCTTTTTATTACTTTATCTACTTAGAGCATTTGGACCCCATTCTTCAGCCAGAAACATTCCCCAAGTGGCTTAAATACAACTAATTAAAACAAGGCAGTCCCTGACCACAGGCTTACAAGGTATAAAGCACAATATGCAATACACAAGGGGAAAGGGATAGGGAGGGAAGAGGAAAAAAGCAGACTTAAACCTCTTTTGTTGACCACCAACATTATGCTTTCCATTTTTAAGTTCCATTTTTGGAGACATATTTTCTCTGTAAAATGACTAAACAGGAAGTGGGCAAACATCTGGGTTCTGACACACAGCTACAGAAGAGAGAGATTCATTCAGTGGAGACTTCAAGGAAAAATTGGCTCCTTCTTTGTTGCATTGGAATCAATATAAAACAAACCAGGCAGTAAATGTGGATGCAATAAATATGCTTTAATTTAATTACAAAAGAGCTTGTTGGTTCAGGTAATGGCCCACCTAGTCCAGCATCCTGTTCTCACAGTAGTCAACCAGATGCCCCAGTGGGAAACCAGCAATCAGGATCCAAGCGCAAGAGCACTCTTCCTCCTGTGATTTCCAGCAACTAGTATTCAGAGTCATCGCTGCTGCTAGCTGTGGAGGCAGAGTATAGCCATTGATAGCTAGTAGCCATTGATAACCTATTAAATCCTGTTAAATATATTTACCATTTAGCTGTTAAACCCTGTTAAGTTCGTCCTGTTAAATAAATGTTGAACATAAGGTGGTTACGTTAAAGGGTTGAACATGAGTTAGGAAAGTAATAACTATACACATGAGTATAGTTGCAAAACCAGAATTGAGCTCTTGCTGCTTTCCTCTGCTCATTGCCCACAGTGGTTCTCAACAGTGCTGCAAGCGCAGAGCTGACCTTGAGGAAGAAGCTACTTCCACAGCTGTTGCCTAACCCGTGCTATGCATTTAGTGGGTGGATCGATGCATTATGTGATAATGGATCAACAGCTTTAGTGCGGGGGTGGGGGGTGGGGGGGGCGTGTTCAGCCTCCAAACCACAAAGCCCAAATTGCTCTGCACACAAACCAACTAAGAAAAAGAATGGAGCAATTTAAGCGTTCACAGAGTAGATGTTTTTGCTGATGTGTTAGAATCAAATAAGTGTTTTTAAAAAACTGACCTGCTTGTTTATTGTATTTGTGCCTGGTTGTGCAGCCGACTTGGCCTCCTGAAGCAGCTTACGGTAGTTTAAATCTCAGTTGCCAATGCACAGAAAAGTTACATGGAAAATAATTAAGAGAGCAGCAACAAGATAAAACAGGCATCACCTTCTCAATGTATCCTCAAAGAGATGGAAGTAGAAGAGACCAGCATATTCAAAAACAGTAATGGTATTCCAGCTCTCATCTGATTCAACCCATGCCACATATCACATCTTAACTTTGAAACCTGGTTCCCAGTGCTCTCTTCTCTTAGTATAAGGTTCCCAACGAAAGCATATTTTCCCAATGAGAGTCACAGTGCCCTGGTTTCACACCTCCCAAGTGACCATTAGTGGCTGGTGCTTGCCAGGACTGGAAGGGGAAGCGGAGAATCAAAGGCAGTATGCTGGGAATCGCAGGTGGGGAGAGTTACTGTTGCACTCAGGTCCACCTGGCTTCCCAAATGCATTTGGTCAGCCATTGAGGAAAGCAGACCACCTAAGTGGGCCGCTGAAAAAAGTAAGGGGAAAAGCAGTATCTGCTTTTCATGCAGAAGGTCCAAGATTCAATGTTGCTGGATCCAGCTCCCATCATCCTTGGCCACTGGCGAGGCTGATGGAAGCTGGAGTCCAACAACTTCTGGAGAGCTGCGACTTACTCTCCACTGGCCTGAGGCAGCTGGCAGAGTAGAAAACCACAGCAAAACCTGTGCCGTCTTTATGGAATGTGAACCCAATGAATGCAAAAGAATCTGTCCAGTGACAGTGATGTCTGAACCATCCAGATTAGTCTAGGCTTAACACATGGAAGGAAGGAAAGACTCTAGAGAGGAGAACAGCAGTAGTTTTACCTACAGAACAAAAGTGAACTAAACCCTCTCTCATAACACTGGAATTTGTGGACATCCAACACAGCTAAATGTTGGGAGATTGAGATGAAATAGAAGAAAGGACTTCTTCACACAGCGCAAAGTTAAACTATGAAACTCGCTCCCACAAGAGGCAGTTATGGCCACCAACTTAAATGACTTTCACAGAGGACTGGACAAATAGAGGAGGGGCTATTGATGGCTACTTGCCTCCACAGCTGGAGGCAGCAATGCTTCTGAATACCAGTTGCTGGAAACTGCAGGAGGGGAGAGTGTTTCTGTGCTCAAATCCTGTTGGCTTGTTTCCCACAGGCATTTAGTTGGCCACTGCGAGAACAGGATCCTGAACTAGATGGGCTCTTTTTGGCCTGGTCCAGCAGGGTTCTTCCTATGTTTCTATGTGAACAGAAAGTACATAGGAATCATTGCTGTGGGACCTAGGCACGACTGTTCCTCCCTCCACTCCCTGAGCTCCACATGCTTAAAGAGAGCAAAAGCCAGACTGTCCACTCCCTGTCCAAATCAATTGCATGTTTCCACTCAGAGGCCCTGCTGCCGATTCCACTTGCTCTTGGAATCGAAAACATCTCTGCGGTTTCCACTCTCTGCTATCCCCTTTGATTTTAAACTGCAGTTTAATAAAGGGGGTGTACAAAAGGCCGAGGATAGGCAATAACGACCAAAAAGGGAGCAAGAGGGGAGCAGAAATGGCTGTGCTAGAATCACGCTGCATGGATTATTTATTTGTTTATAAAAATATTTCATGAAGAAAGACATACATAAAAATCATACATAAAACCATTCAATAAAACGACTTAAAATTTTTAAATCATAGATCAACTAGAGACAGTAGCCAAATGATACCCTAGATTTATCCCACATCTTTGTCAGGTTTGCCAGCTATGGCTGTTCCTGGACTGGGATAGCCTGACCACTGCAGTCCATGCATTGGGAGCCATGAGGCTTGGTTACTGCAATGTGCTGCCCTTGGGCCTGATTCGGAAGGTCCATCTGGTGCAGAACGCAGCAACCAGACTGTTGATGGGAGCTGTTGTCCGACAACATGTGACCCCATTGTTGAAACAGCTACACGGAATGCCCACTTACTACCATGCTGGGTTCAAGGTCCTTGTATTAACTTGCAAATCCCTAAACAACTTAGGCACAGGGTACTTGGATACCTCTTGAACCCTTTTAACCCAGCGCAGTCATGGAGATCACCTGCAGGAGCATCGTTGGTTGTTCCCCAAGTTGGGAGGCCTCATCTGACAATAACACAAAACTGAGCCTTTAGGGTTGTTGGCCCAGTCTTGTGGAATGCTGTTCCAATAAAGATTTAGCAAGTGCCATCTGTTTAAACATTTAAATGTCTGCTGAAAACTTTTCTGTGCCACCAAGCTTATGCAGACAGTTGATGATCTAAGATGATTTTATCTTTTATGGTTTTATGTTGGTTTTATTGTATATGTATTTGGTTATTGTAAAGTGCTCTGATAGTGATTTTTTTATGAAGAGAGGTAGACAAGTGTGGAGAACAGAGTTTTGTTTTGTTTTTAAATGGGACAAAAACCTTGCAAATCTTAATTTCTGGAGGTGGAAGTGGAATGAGTGAATACAACAAAGCAGCAGTTGAATTGCCTTCAGCTCTCTGGGCAGGCATGGAGGCAGCCCCCTCTTTGGCTATGGATCTTGAAGGTGGGTCTTTCTTGTTTCTGGCCTTGTTTTGAAGCCCAGCAACTCCTTCCAAGAAAGCTGGTTCTTTTTTTAGGATGCTTAGGTGTGCATTTCTTCCCCACCCCACCAGAATCTCAGCAGAAGGAAGTGGAAGAAATGTTGGAGCAGGAAGGCTTGTTTGATATCGCCCACAGCAGCCCCAGTGAACAGGTTGCTTATTTGCTGGTTGAGAGAAGCACCCTGCTGGAGAAGATAGATGCGCTGGAGCAAAAACTGCAATCCCCCAGCTGTTTGGAAAGCCTTTGCGCTGCTCAGCTTCAGGTACATCATCCTTCTTTATTTGGAATGCTTTTGTATTCTGCCTTAAAGCCCTGAGAGGCTCCCAGAGCAACTTGCGAAAGAGTCATAGTATAGTCTTCATTCAAGTGTAGCATCGGAAACAGAAATGCCATGGTGTCCATATGGGGCCAGGATTACTGAGGCAGCATTTTCTGCCCTAGAATCATAGGGAGCTGCCTTATACCGAGTCATGCCATTGGTCTGCCTTGCTCAGTATTGTCTGCACCAGCGGTGGACAAAAGCTAGGTTGCAATCTACTGGTAGGTCTCTGGGTGATGTGTTGTAGATCAGCAGTGGTTTCTGACGAGGACTACAACTTCTGTTGGCCATGCTGGCCAAGGCTGATGGGAACGGGAGTCCAACAACATCTGGAGGCCCACAGGGTCCTGACTCAGCAGCTGAAGACCAGTGACCTCTCATGGAGGAGAGAACTATTGATGGCTACTAGCCATAATGACTCTGCAATGCCCTTCATAGATGGAGACAGCCATGCTTCTGAATACCTGTTGCTGGAAGCCACAGGAAGGGTGAGGGCTTTTGTGCTCGAATCCTGCTTACAGGTTTCCCTCTGGGGCATCTGGTTGGCCACTGTGAGAACAGGATTCTGGACTATATGGGCCACTCGCCTGATCCAGCAGGCTGTTCCTATGTTCTTAATGTGCTAGCCATCTCAGCTGGCTTTTTCCTTAAAAAAAATAATTGTCCATTTTGTTTCCAGGTCTCACTAAGACAGGAAAACATAAGATTTCCCAGTTAATTTCCCTCCAGATTGATAGGGGAGAAGTATGTATATTCAAGGAGCAGAAGAGGTGTTTTCAGATAATATCTGCTCACCCTATAAAACATTATGTTTGTTTTTACTCTCCATGTTATTTATATTAGTACTATGAAGAAATGCAAGGGGAAGTATTTTGGTGAAGTTATGTATTTTTAATAATTCTTCTTTCTTTCTTCCTTTTTCTTTTTTGTCTAAGGATCAGTTGGATCATATCCAGCGGACACTAGAAGATGAGCTTCAGGAGCAACGGAAATCTATGCAGTGCACCAAAGAGATGACGCATAAAGTAATAAAGAGAAGAAATTGGTCCAACCTTTTTCACTTCTGCTCATGCTGCTTAGCGTCGTAGTGTATCTTGGGCGCATCAAGGGTAACATGGTGTCAATTGAAAGACAGCCATGCATGGATTTTTTTTAAGGTATCACATAATTCCTGGAAAAAGTTGTCTATAGAAGTTGTAGTGGAAGGACCAGACACAGCACTGACAGAAACCTTGGGAAATGAAATGGAAAGTCCCCTATGGGATGAAGATCTATGTGAATTTATGAAGCTGTCCTGTACAAAGTCAGGATAAGATTGGTCTATTTTGCCCACAGATTTTTGTTTGTTTGTTTGTTTTAATTAATGGGAGCTGTAATCCTGAAAGGCACCACATTTGCTACCTCTGTACTAGGGGCTGTGTGGTATTGTAAGATGAAGCCACCAGTTTTAAGAAAGCTTTGCTCGACCCACAACCACCTTCCCATCCCTGAGTGAGAAGCAATGTCATTGGCCCTTAATTCTGCCCGCTTGTGTCCATCTGTTAAAAATGAAGGTTCTGTCACCTAGGATGCAGAGAGGCCATCCCCAGCCAGGGCCCTTCCTCTAAATATTGTACTTTGTCTTTTAGTCTCATGCTGAAGAGCTGGCTAGACAAAGTGCCTTGCTTAGGCACACTGAGCAGCACCTGGAGGAAGCCACACACAGGTTGCAGTTGGCGCAGGCAGAGATCCGGAGGCTAACAGAAGAATTGGCCACGCAGAAGGAAAACCAGAGCAAACTGGGTGAGTTCCAACTGCTTGCAGCCACTGACAACTCAAAACTTTTTTGGCGGACCTTGGCTGTGATCCATTTTTCTTCTCCGGAAGATGGCACACTATGTCAACCCCCCCCCCAATCTTACATAAGATATAAACACAAATGAATACATTAAGATGATGTTAACATATAAAAATATTAGCGATGGCCAAGGGGGCTACAGATCTATTCTCTTTATTTGCCCTCAATGGCCTGGTTGCATGTCCAAGAATTTTCACTGCTGTTTAAGGACTGGCAATATGTGCTCCATATAGCCAGCCACAGCTAGTGGTGTAGCACTTATGGTTTGGTTTTATCCAAGAGTTTTTGAGATGTTTTCAAAGGCAACTTCCCATGTAGCACACATTGCAGGAGTCTAATCTGGGTGCTGTCAGAGCGTGGGCCACTGTGACCAGGTGATCTCCATCAAGAGGAAATGGGGATGGACACAGCCTGACACACATTTTGGTATCTGTGCCAGCTCAGATTTCTAACTTGCATTCAAGGCAGTCAAGAACTCTCACCTGGAAACTGAGTTCAAGGAGAGATATATTCAACCTCTGTCCCCAAAATAACTACTTTCCAGGAAAAAGACGTGGAAGCTGTTTTGTAAAACAAAGGAGGCTCCCCAGGAGGGTCCCCCCCCCAAGACTTGACAAGTTGGGAATGTGACCCTCTAAACTCCTTTTTGCCTCAAGGCAGAGAGTGTTGCAAAATCACCATAGAACTTTCAGTTAGTGTGGGTCCCAGACTGGCTGCTCTGCTCAGCACAGTCCAACCTCCTGCTCTGCTTTGGTTGATCAATTTCTTTTTAGGGCAGCTTTTGCCTCAGAGGGCACGTTCTGCACAATGTGCCTCAGCCTCCCGACAGCAGTGCACCGCCAGATCCCCATCAGAGCTGCTGGTGGATTCATTTTCTGGGTGACCCTCGAGTGCATTGAGCCAGTGAGAAATCTGTTACAATTTGCAAGTGGTGTTTTCTTTTTTTACACTTGTTTGTGTATCTATGGCTTTTAGTATTTTGAATTTTATGTTATTCTAGGGTATTCCATGTTTCAAGGTTAGAAATTTATCCAGATAGGCTCTTTAGGTTAAACTTGGGCTTCTGGGTGATGTATTAAGAAGACCTGTGTGTTTTAATAATTTGTGAAATCTGTTGTAAAGGATTTATTCTACCTCTTCAAAACAAATCAGATGGAATCCCTGATTTATTTTAGGTACAAAGCAGCTATTCCTAACCTTTTTCACTTTTAATAGATCACTGTGGGTTATTATAGGTTAACAACAATATTATTTCTTGTTTTTGCAACAATAGATGAACATGGCTAGTCCCTAGCAATTGCTTTAATGTTGTTTATTGGTGCCCCACACACATCCATTTAAAATATAAATTAATGGATTTTTAAAAATTAGTAAATAGAGAAGCATTGCCTAAAGCACACAGACCCCTCGGATCGGAGATTTCTGGGACAGTTCTTCTAGCAGCGTTCTTCAGCCTTGGGACCCCAGATGCTGACCAGGATCATGGGATTTGTAGTCCCAACATCTGGGAACCCAAGGTTGAAGAACACTGTTCCATCACACTGTTTGTACTTACTGTGTATGTGTTTAATTATAGGGACAGCAGTAATCTATAACTCTCCTCCCCCCACCCCCCAAAAAACTGCTCCATTTTTCAATCAGCTCCATCCATGGCAGAGAGCTTGAAAGAAGAGGCGAATAAGGTGAAAGACAGTGGTAAGTTGCATGCTGCCTATATCACTCGCTTAGCACATTTGCAGGAATAATTATGATTTGTATTGGACCAAAGGACAATCTGGTTCAGCATCCTGTTAGCAGCAGTGGCTAAAGAGATGTTTAACAAGCAGAGCATTTAACAAGCAGAGCATGAAGGCTTCTCTGCATTTGGTTTTCAGAGATGTAAGTGGGGGGAACTGCAACAAAATGTCGCAGTCATCATCTGAAATTGATACTAGAGGCAGCATGGAGTACTCCTGCCCCAGCATGCTCGCGACCTGGATACTCCGTTCCATTCCTCATCTCCTTTTCTTTTCCTAAAAATCACTTAACAATTTGGGGGGATGGGGTGAATGAACAAATTTTGAAGACTATTTCAGGGTTTGTTTGCTCCCTTAGCTTCCCCTTCTCTCCCCCACAAGGATTTTCCTTAAGATCCTTGTTCTTTTTTCTTTCTTTTCTTTTTTGTACTTCTGCAAACATTAGGATTCCCCACAAGCATGCTGGCATACCTCTCTTATTTCTTTGTGGCTTTTAAGAGCATGATCCTATTGGCACTCAACCAGCTGATTTTGTTATTAGAGAGAATTGTGCTGCCCTGCTCGGTTCCATCATAGCTGCATCTGCCCAGGCAGCTCATTGGTTCCCCCTCATTGCTTATCAATGTTTCTGGGCAACAGCCAAATCCTGGCCTTGCCTAGCAGTGTCTCCATGTATTTCTCAGTCCCAGTCCCTCTCTGACGACATTTTCACTGGGGCAGTCAACTAGCATCTGAGCTGCACCACTCCACATTGTAGGAACAGGCATGACTGGATGTTCCTTCAACCCCCAGTTATTCCTTGTACTTGAAAACATGCCAGGGGAAAAGCTTGGGCTAGAGCCACCGTCTAGTCTTCTAGGCAGAAGGAGCCTTTTTGTGCAGAAAGAGCATCCAGTCAACTGAGCCCCACCTGTAGCCTGAAGTGGTACAGCTGTATTTCCTCCCGGAAACAATTAACGTGGATGAGCATTAAACTTCCACTAGATTCCCAGAAGTGGTTTTTATGCTGGATGAAAGATCAAATAAAACAGAAAACTGAGCATGTAAAGAAATGACAAGAAGACAGAATAAAGTGTCATCTGAATGCAGCCTGAGAAAGGGCTACTTATGTCATGCGGGGTAGGCTGGCTTGCTAGTTCCCCCAAGGGCCCTGGATCTCCCTGGTTGGCCTCACAGACTGCTCCCCTGTGATGTTTTGCTTTGGGAACTCCAGGCTAAACTCTGAAGAGGGTTCTTCCAGCAGGGGTATGACCAGTGCTTTTTTTCTTTCAAAAAGTTTAGAGGTACTCTCATTCTGACTCATGAAAATCACCATTTTATAGTTCAAATCGGGAAAAATAAATACAGTAAATGGACAGAAGTACAAAGATTCACAAAATGTTTAGGGGTATGCATCTCCCTGTGTCCCCCCCCCCCGAAAAAAGCACTTTCTATGACACAACTCAGTAACAATATCCTGGTCATGTGTCCAGGAATTTGCACTGCTGTGATAATAGGAGGATTTTGGTGGAGGAAACATAATGGGCTGTGTGCCTCCTCTAAAGAACTAGGTCATTAATTTTTCTTGTTTCCCAATTTTTTTTATTGAATTTTAGTAATAACCAACAAGTTTTCCCCGTTTTTTAAAAAAATTGTCACATTGCCAACAAATAAGTAGAGATTACAGTAGTAAAACATACCAAGAGGGAAAGGATATGTCATCTATAATTACAAAGGCTTCCATAACATAAAAACAATAAAAACATTTAAAATATGTTTTTTAATGTGAAAAAAAGATAAAAAGTAACCTTGAACTGCACTAAACCCAAGACAGTCGCATGGTCCTGTGGGACCTGATGCTCCTGAGCCTCTCTATCTGTATATAAAATAAGATTAGACCCTATGGCAAAGAAGCACTTGGGCCCCTGGGCACTTTTAGCTTATGCTATGCCTTGGAATACCAATATTCCAGCTTGTTGAGATAAAAGACTTCCAAAACTTGGCAATCGTGGCCTGAGCCACTGTCACAAAATGCAAAACGGTGCCATTTCTGAGATGTAGAACAGCGTCTACTTGGATACCTGCTGGTCATGGCCCCTGGTTGCCTTTAGAAATGTCAGAGCTACAGAAGGCCAGGGAGCTGAACATCCGATTGGACCAAGAAATCCTGGCACTACGCAGCAGAGTCCAACTCCTCGACTCGGAGAGACAAATGTTCTTGGAGCAGGTCAGTCTGGGTCACTAATGTTTGGAGTACTAGTGACCATAGTTGCCGGTGTGGTGTGTGTGGTGGAGCTGAAGAGCCACCCATCCATCACCAGCGTTGCTGCATCTTACCTGAGCAGGGCAGGGGAGGTTGGGGTTGTGCACGTGAACCTTTAGAGCACCAGACTGGCTTTTTGTTAAACTGTTGTGTTGATCTGTTCAGACAGGCTCGCCGCTAAGGGCTGGCATCCTCAGGCAGTTGCCAATGGCCCAAGTTGCTGACCCTATTACACTGCCGACCCAAAATGCTAACCGCAGCTACCCATGCTTGGTGGTCCTCTCAGTGCTGAGGAGGGATAGGGGAGAATTCCGATTCAGTTTGCATTTAGAGGCGAACTGAAATTAAGACGTTTATAATGCAGCTCTCCAGCCAAGTAATGTGTACAAAAATACTTATACAGTACTAGGGTAAAGTTTGCATATAAATGCATATATTGGGGAGGGGAAGCATACAAAATGCATTATATTAGGGGGGATTGCTTTTCAAAAATGTGTGTATTAGGAGAATTACACACCAAAATTCTGGTACTTTTCCCATGAGAACTTACTTTAAGAAATTGCATAATGATGTGGAATTGTGGAGAACTGAAGAATGGAAAGATGAGAAACTGAGAGAAACTGTGCTGGGCCAAGGAAGTTGCCATGCTTTTAGATTACGCAAGATCATTTTGGAGGGGGAAATCCTCAGCAGGCAAGGAATTGCGCTGAGGCGGGGTCTTTCTAACCTGAGTGAACTGGCCCAGAAGAGCAGAGGTTAGGTGTGAATTCTCTCTTCTGAATGAAACCATTGGAAGTCTTTCTTTCTTTCTTTTTTCTTTTTCTTTTTGGCATGTAAGGCGGAAAAGCTTGATGAGGAGGTTCCCAAGTATCAGGTGACTGAGGAAGAGCCAAGATATGTATTAGCCAGGACGGACCAAACTAAAGAACAAGAAGGCTGCTTGTTGCAGGTATATTTTAAATTTGTTTGTTTGTTTGCATGTTTGTTTGTTATTTTTGTGTCCCCTGCATTCTCCAAGAAGGTTAAGAGTGGCATAAATTGATTCCCCCCTTTTATCCTCATGACAACCCTGTGAGGTAGGTTAGTCAGAGAGAGAGAGAGTTACTGGCCCATGTTTCCTGAGTGAGCTTTGGGGCCAACAGGGGATTTGAACCTGGATCTTCCCAGTCTTGTCTATCCTCTATGCCATACTGGCAGTCTATTTCTTCTCACCCCACCCCACATAAGGGTCAGATTTAAGTGGTAGAGGGGAGGTTGTGATTTGAAGGGGCTAATCTTCAACACTTCCCCTACCCACCACTTATTTCCAGCTCTTAAGCCACATTCACCCCATACAGTTAGAGAAATATTAAAAGCACCACTTTAAACAGTCATGGCTTTACCCCAAAGGAGCCATAGTCTGTTAAGGGTGCTGAGAGTTGTTAGAAGACCCCTAGTCCCCTCCGAAAGCTAAGGTTCCCAGAGTGGCTTAAAATCCATCCCACTTCATAGGGAACTCTGGGAATTGTAGCTCTGTGAGGGGACTAAGGGGCCGCCTCATGACTGTTAGCACCCTTAACCAAACAACAGCTCCCAGAATCCTGTGGGGGAAGCTACGACTATTTAAAGTGGAATCATGCTGTTCTAAATATATGTTTTGAGTGCTTTACCCCCAGCCCTGGCAACACTTGTAGAGGAACCCCACTTCTCATGGAGGGTAGGAAACAGACCTGAAAGAATAGACAAAAAATTAGGAAAAAGCAGTAATTAACATGGGCCTTCAAGCAGAGAACAGAACTGGCTAACCAAGGACCAGTAAAGAGCCTGTTCATTAGCTGTGGTGAACAAAAGTAATTGGAGAAGGAAGCTTCTAATTAACATTGTAGGAGGACCTTTGCTGAATAGGATTTGCAACTATGGGACAATGTAGTTAGGGCCCCACCTTGCATGCAGGAGGTCATATCAAGATGGGCTGGAAAAGATTCCTGCCTAAAAACCTGGAGAGCTGCTGGTGGCCAGGCTGAGCTAGATGGACCCGTGGTCTGTCTGGATATAAGGTAATTTACTATGCTCCTAAATTTTCTTGGATCACAGGATAAAAATGGAAAGCTGAAAGCTGAAGAAGAAACAAGCTTTTTGGACGAAGCTGCCTCAGAATCTGAACATAACAAGGCCCTTCATCAGAGGTGAATAAGCTAAGCAAATGTTAAAAAGCAAATGGTTTCCACCAAGTCTCAGTTGGTAGATCATGAGACTCTTAATCTCAGGGTTGTGAGTTTGAGCCTCACATTGGGCAAAAGATTCCTGCTTTGCAGGAGGTTGAACTAGATGATCCTTGTGGTCCTTTCCAATTCTGTGACCACTTAAATTATGTAAATGTGCTGCTTTCTTTGATGCTGTTGTTTCATTGCCCACGATCCTTGCTTCCGCAAACTACATTTTGTGAATTTCTGCTTTGTTCCATTCACACAGCGGATACTGGTAGAATCTCAGGTTACATCAGGTAGCACAGCACCTCTGATTGCCAGTCAGTTTCCGGGCCCAATTGAAGATGGCAACATTACAGTGGTACCTCGGGTTACATACGCTTCAGGTGACATACGCTTCAGGTTACAGACTCCGCTAACCCAGAAAGTGCTTCAGGTTAAGAACTTTGCTTCAGGATGAGAACAGAAATCGTGCTCTGGCGGCGCGGCAGGAGCAGGAGGCCCCATTAGCGAAAGTGGTGCTTCAGGTTAAGAACAGTTTCAGGTTAAGTACGGACCTCCAGAACAAATTAAGTACTTAACCTGAGGGTACCACTGTAATTTCAAATCTTTAACTTAAACATGTAGCCAGCTGCTTCAGGGCCCCTGCCAATTTGGTTTCACTTTGACGTAGGTGCCGCCAAGCCATTGAAGGGTGGAATGCCAAACCACAGCTCTGCACAAGCTCCTGCACGAGGGCAGAGGATAGGAGTCCCTAGGGAACACAGACCAGATCTAGGAGAGCGGGAGCAGTTTGATGATAGCGGACCAGAGGAAGGAACCCGGGAGCAGGTGTAACTTGAGGCGTTTCCCAACTTTTTGGCAGCACACCTGTTACTGAAAAAATCCGGGACACACATCAAAGCCCGCCCGTACCCAGAGCGTCCGCGGAGACGGAAAGTGAAGTTTTTCCGGGGGACTCAGCTTTGGGAGGAGGAGAGAGAGGAGACTGAGACGGGCAACTGCGGCGCAGAGGGCGATAGCGGAGGAGGACGGCGCGGGCTGAGGAGCGTGCCGGAGTTGCTGCTTGTTAGTTGCTTGTGCTGCGACACTGCCGCCATCTCTCCTCCGCGTCTCGCGCTCCTCCTTTGCACTGCCCCCCCGCTGCACAGCCACGCGGGCCGCCCGGCTCGCGCGGATCTACGTCCGCGCTCTCACCGCCGACTCCCCCCTCTTCCCAACACAGCCAATGTCCACGGCGAAAAGTGGTGCGCGGGACACGGGGGAAACACTGTTAGGCTTTTTATAACCCGTCATCAGCCCAAAGCTCCAGACAACCAAAACAAGCAGTCCTGCCTGCTTTTTTTAAAAATGACATGCAGGAAAAGGGTTAGGGGTGCACCCATTCGACAGTTATTCGTATAATGATCAGCTGACCCATTTCAGGGGCAGGAGGTGCCTGGTGGAGCCAGAGCTCTGGCAAAGTTGATGGAATAAGCCTTCTGCTTCCTGTCTCTCCCACTGAGGCAAGTCACAGGGCTGTCTTTTCTTGGGGTCCAGGAGGGGCTTTCAAAGCCCAGTTCATACTCTTGCAAGCTGGACTCCTGTTGACCATCAAGGCATTTTGTGTTGTTGTTTTTCTCTGCTGGGGTTGAATGTCTGTACGGTGTGAAATGGTTGGTTGAACTGGAGGGCAAGCAGGCAGTGAACTTTGAAAAAGGGTAGAGGCTGAGGTAGGCTTTGGAGGGAGGAGACAGTCTCTAAGTTCTGGGACATGAGGCGGAGGGCCTCCTCGGTAGTGGCATCTGCCCTGTGGAACGCCCTCCCATCAGCTGTCAAGGAAATAAACAACTATCTGACTTTTAGAAGACATCTGAAGGCAGCCCTATTTAGGGAAGTTTTTAATGTTTGATGTTTTATCGTGTTTTTAATATTCTATTGTGAGCCGCCCAGAGTGGCTGGGGAAACCCAGCCAGATGGGCGGGGTATAAATAATTTGTTGTTGTTGTTGTTTTATTAGGACAGACAATCTATCAGTTTTTATTTCTTTCAGTTCCTTTTTTTTTAACAACCTTGAGTTCAGTTCACCCCTTTTCCACATCAGTTTGTGATTTATTTCTTTATTCAATAAATTCAGGCACATTTCCCGTAACATATGCATTATATACAGTTTTTCCCAATTTACAATCAAGTGGCATATGTTTTATTTATTTAAGCATTTATATGATACTAATTCATTTTAAAAATACAAAAGTGATCACAGAGATCTGCACATAAAGCCACACAATAAAAACCATATTTGAAAAGTTAAAATAAGAAATCATTGTACTGTACTATTGTAGAAACATGTCTTCTTAACTGCCTGCAGTAAGTCTGACTGAAGAATAAAAGGGTTTTCAGCAGGCATTTTAAAATTTGAAAAAGAAGGCTTCTGAATAAATAAATATGCACATTCTTGTCAGTCATTTGCCCTTACGTTACCAGCATGAGTTTGACCAAACTGCGGGAGGTAGTGGAGGACAGAGGTGCCTGGCGTGCTCTGGTCCATGGGGTCACGAAGAGTCGGACACAACTAAATGACTAAACAACAACAACAAAACATATTTTTTGTATGCTGTGTTGGTGAATATACGCTGATGGGTAAAAAGGACTGATGTGGGGCATGATCACTGGATCCAATGCAGGGAAAATCTCCCTGACAGGAAAGCGATCTAGAACCCTGAACAGTTGGAAGCTATAAGGCTGAGCTAACAGTTTCCAACTGTCAAGAGCAGTTGGAGTCTTCCTGAGCCAAGGGCCTCATGTGCCTCCCTTCATAAGATGGAGCTACAGGAATACTTCAGTGATAGGGAGCCAGAAAGAAACATAATATACCCAGGAGTAGCTCAGTTGGAGGAGATCAGTGAGAGAACATGGCACACAGGTATTTTCATTTGGTTTTCCTCACTTTGTAAGAAGAGTGGCCCTGCAGATGCTCCTAGACAACAACTCTAATCAGTCCTAGCTAGCATGGCCAACAGTCAGGGTTGATGGATGTTGTGGTTCAACAACATCTGGGGGCTCAGAGAGGTTCCTTAGCCCTGGCTTAACTGTAGGGCCAATGCTTCTTACTAAGCCTAGTTCCGGGCCTTGGCCAGACCACGAGGTCCTGGGTTTCCTCTCTTGATGGAGGGTTCTTTGCAAAACCAAAAACAGCCCTATCTCTCCTAGGTGAATGGAACCAGTGCTCCAGATGCAGCAATCTCATCATCTCTTGCCATTGACCCATCTGGCTAGGACTGATGGGGGCTGGAGTCTAGCAGGATCTGGAGCCCCAGTTTAACGTATTTTCTGTTTGGTCCTGAGTCAGGCCTGTGCTCCATTTAACCCAGAGCTGTGTCTTCCCGCTGGCAGTCATCCTGTGTGGTACCAAGCAGAGGCATCGCCCCGGCCTTGCTACATGAGATATGCCAGTACCTAAAGCCAGGCCTTTTTTTGCATACATGTGTGGTGGTGCATAGCCCACTTTCCAAAGGATTCAGAGGGAAGGTGAGGTTTAAGCTCATGAGGTCTCAGCTCACACTCTCAACCAGCTTTTTGATTGGTTGGTTGGTTGGTTGATTCCATTTCTATACTGCCCTTCCTCCTGTGGGAGCTCAGAGCAGTAAACAGCATAAAAATACAATCTAAACAATGAATCCCAAAATCAAAATACAAAGAATACTGGCTGCTGAAATTTCAGTAAATGTATAAAGCATATTAAATATTATATCTACCATATCTTAAAATATAATTTATAAACACATATAACACATCTATCCCACCTTCCTCTCAGGTTACATTTAAAAACGTTATAAAATACAAATAATAGTTAAAATATATCAAAACACATTCAGAACCAGCAACTAAAATCCAGTTTGCCCTGACTTCAGGTCAGCATCATCTGCCCCTTCGTGTCCAAAGGCCTATCTGAACAGGAAGGTCTTAACCTGTTGGCAATAGGATAATAAAGAGAGTGTAACCTCTCTTGGAAGGGAATGCCACAATATGGCAGCAGCTACAGAAAAGGCTGTCTCTCATATCACCAGCCAGGCCTCAGAGAGAAGGTACTCCCCTGAGGATCTTAAAACTAGGGCAGGCTTGTAGTGGGATATACGAGCTTTCAGGTAACCTGGGCACTCAAGCCATGTATTCCAACATCAGGAGTTGTGTGAAGGGGTTGGGGGACTGAAAGAAGGCACTTCTTTTTTAAAAATAAAACCTCTTCCCTCTTGTTTGGGGTGTGTGTCAAGATTTCTCATTTAGAGGCAGAACTCTGGAAAGCGCAGAAGAGTAAATCCGATATGGCTGACGAAGAAACAAGCAAAGTGGCAGATTCCCAAGAGGCAAGGAACAAGGTTGAAAGGGGTGTTTTGGGGGCCCCTAGATTGGGAAGCAGGTGGAAGGTGGGGGTGCAGCTCTGAGGCCCACCGCCATTGGGTTGCATGGTCCACACTTGCAGACCTCCCCTTTCAGCAGGCTGACAATGGTTGCAATTTTCACTGGTCTCAGGTGGAGAAAAGTAAGCGAGAGAAGGTGGAAGAGCTGGAAAGCAAACTCTTGGAGGAGACAGAGTGGAGGAAGCAGCTGGCCTGCAACCTCGAAATGACACAGAAAGCATTGAAAGATGGAAAGAAGGTGAGTGGTCCCCAAATTATTATTGTCAGCTGCTTTTAGAAAGCCTCCATGAACTAGGTCAGCTGATGCCTTGACAAAGGAAATAGTTTAACTGGTTCAGCAAGTTTCCTGTTAGCGATTCCAGCCTCACATACTCAAGATCACAGGCTTGGAAAGGACCCCTGGGTATCATCAAGACTGAGCCCACCCCCCAAACTATAAGAGTAACTTGCCAGCTAAAGAGCTCTCATTGCAAGCCAGCCCAGCTAACTCCTTTGGCTGTTCAACCAGGAGCTGCACAGTTCCAAGTCAGAGCTTCTGCGGCTTCGGGGAGCAGCTGAGGAAAGAGATTTTCTGCACGTGACTCTTGAGAAACTACAGCAGGAGAATGTGATGCTGGAAATGAAGGTGAGCCTTGTGGGAAGCTTAGTGATCAGAAGTGCTGGACTTTGAAAACAATGCCAGCGAATAAGCTTCCTTCTGTTGAGACAGACCATCGAGTACACTATGACTGGATCTTAGCCTCCCACTCCCCACTTTGAACCAGGAGGACCCACACCACATTACAGAGTAAGGTCCCCCAACATTTACAGAGTGAGGTCCCACTGCCATGTGATATTTGGAAGGGGGTGGTGTTGTTTGAGTTGCACAAGCCCACCCCTTTAGGGACACACTTTACTTGGTCCTGGTCACACTTTACTTGGTCCTGGTCAGCGCTCTTAACTTGGGATATTTGCGTTCCTAACCTTGCAGGTGTCAGAGCTCTTCCAGGAATGTGAGCAGCTCAACCATGTTCTTACAGAAGGGAAAAAGCCTGGGGAAATATCGGTGGCAAGCCGGAGGATGTGCCCTGAGCTGACAGCTAAGGAGAGGGCTTTGGAAGATCAGATCCGCAGCCAGGGAGAAGAAAGAGAGCAGCTGCGGTAAAATATCTAAATAAAAATTTAAAATGTATGCTTTATCTCAATGTATTCATTTCTAAGCACACTGAGCTGTCTTCCGTGTTGGGCCTGCTCAGAGCAGATAGGGCGTGGCTCACTTCCACACCATATATTTAAAGCACTGTGATACCACATTTGCAGTCATGTCTCTCCCCGCCACCACCCTAATAAATGAGCACTGCAGTTTGTTAAGGGTGCTGGGAACTGTAGCTCTGGCAGGGGTCTCCCAACAACTCTCAGCACCCTTAACAAACTGCAGTGCTCATTTATTAGGGTGGTGGCGGGGAGAGACATGACTGCAAATGCACTTCACTTCTCAGGATTCCCTGGGGTATATCATGTGCTTTAAGTGGATGGTTGGTACGCAGCCCATGTCAAGAAGCCACCAATACTCCAGCAAGTATTCATGCTTATATTTTTGTCCCTTATCTTGGGGGAATTACAGTGGTGCCCCGCAAGATGAATGCCTCGCAAGACGGAAAACCCGCTAGACGAAAGGGTTTTCCGTCGCGGAGGCGCTTCGCAAGACGAAGTTCCCTATGGGCTTGCTTCGCAAGACGAAAACGTCTTGCGAGTCTCGCCATTTCCCCCCCCCGCTCCCCCCCCTTTTTCAAAGTGGCTAAGCTGTTAATAGCCTTTTAACAGCTTAGCCGCTAAACCCGCTAATCCGCTAATAGCGCTAAATCGCTAATAGCGCTAATCCGCTTAGCCGCTAATGGGGTTGCTTCGCAAGCCGAAAAAACCGCTAGAAGAAAAGAATCGCGGAACGGATTCTTTTCGTCTTGCGAGGCACCACTGTACAAAACCCGCACCCCATTTTTCATAGGTTATGCTGCAGTAAATGGCATATATCCTTCGGCCTCTTTCTCTCCCCTCCTCCCCCCTCCACCTTCAACCTCAAGTGTTAAATTGTTAGAGAGCAAGAAGAAAACAGAGGAACTAGAAAAGAAGGTTAAGGAGAGCTATGAAGAGAGAAGACGCCTGTGGGAAGAAAACATGCAGTTAAGGAAAGACATGCTGGATCTCCAGTGTCAGCTTAACACCAAGAGCACGGCAAACGTCAGGGCGAAGCGTGAGGCTGGCTTTGGAGAGAACCCACCCCGCAAGACACAGACTCCCATGGGGAGCACAGATGGAGAACCAAAGCAGGTAAGAAGGCTTCCTGAATGAAATACCTCTCTGCAAGACAGAGGTCCCCCAAAGTAAGACAGCCTCCTGCAAAAAAGAGAAAGTACTGTGATTTTTTTTTGGGGGGGGTGTCTTAGTAGGAACACGGAATCATTGCAGATGCAGATGTAAACAGAGGAACCTAGAACTTTCCAAAGCTATTTTTTAGAATTGTAGAGTTGGGAGGGGCCCCCTAAGGGTCCTATAGTCCAACCCCCTGCAATGCAAGAATAACAGCTGAATAATCCTGGACAGATGACCACCCAACCTCTGTTGAAAAACCTCCAGAGAAGGAGACTTCACTACCTCCTGAGGTTGTCTGTTCCATTGTTGAACAGCTCTTATGCTCAAAGTCCTTCCTAATGTTTCGGCGGTGAGTGGATAGTCCATGTCACAGGTGTATAGGGTGTATGCCCTATGCAGACTAGACTCAATGAAAAGAATGGACATGAGTTAGTCATTCCCATTAAGAACATATGAAGAACCTGATGGAGCAGGCTAGCAGCTCACCTAGTCCAGCATCTTGTTCTCACTGTGGCCAACCAGATGCCTGTGGGAAACCAAGCAAGCAGGACCAGAGCTCACGAACCTACTCTCCTCTTGTGGTTTCCAGCATAGCTGGCATGGCTAGTAGCCATCAAGAGCCTTCTCCAGGAATTTCTCTAATCCTCTTTTAAAGCCATCCAAGTTGGTGGCTTTCACTGCCTCCTGTTGTTGAACTATGATTGAACTATGCATTAATTGCAGTGCGTCCACTCTGAGTAGGACTTGCATTGGATAGATGTATACAACCCATGGTCTACTGGCAACCCTCAGTGGTCTGTTGGTAAGGCTGAGAGAGCTCAGCAGATCTGGGAGCATTGTGGCAGGTATTGGCATGGGATTGGCTACTGAGCATCACTTGGTTCCCAGAAGGCTCCTAGGCAGTGTTGGGTATGTCCCCAACTCATGTGGCCAATACTGCTCAGGTTGTGTCACAGAGAGCAGGAAATGGTGCCAGTCCCAGTCCAAGCCCTGTGTTGCTTCTCTCTGCATTCATCTGGCAACTGTATCAGCTGCCTTCCTCACAGCTTCTGCTCTGTCTCACAGGGTCTGCTGGGGGAGAGAACTGAGCAGAAGGAGGACGGGCATCTTCTCTGGCAGGATGTTCAGCGTATTCAGAACTTGGGCAGCTCCGCCGAGAAGGAGCTGAGGTACGAAAGGGAGAAGAACTTGAAATGCAACATCTTGCTTCAGCAAGAAAACTTCAAGGTAGGTGACCCCATCCCCATAGGGGCAGGAAAGCCAAGTGACAGTTTTGAAAGAGATGGGGACATGTCCCTTCTTCTTTGTCTTCTTTTTCCTCCTCTTTTTCCTCCTCCTTTTCTTCCATCTTCTTTCTTCTCCTTCTACCTCCTTTTAAGACATGTGTTCATTGAACTTTGGCTTTGTTAGGCCAAAGCATCTCCACTTGACTAACACATAATTTTCATTATGCGATTCATGAGATGCTTCTTGAAAAGACATCCCTTTGCTTATTCCTGGCCCTTTCAGGCTGGATTTTGTGGGCTGTGGCCAACCAAGTCCCACCCGATCAGTGGCGTAGCGTGGGGGGTGCAGGGGGGGCCGGCCGCACCGGGCGCAACATCTGGGGTTAGGGCAAATCCACAGGTTAGGGGGCGCAAATCCATGGGTTAGGGGGCGCAAATCCACGGGTTAGGGGGCGCAAATTACTTGCCTTGCCCCGGGTGCTGACAACCCACAGTACGCCACTGCACCCGATGCAGCCCCTTGGAAATTAGTGGACATGACTAACTTAAGGTCCATTAATCTCAGTAGGTCTCCTCTGAGTAAGACTCAGTTGGCGTTTGCTTGCCTAGTCTTGCCATGCAAATAACTCTCCAAACGAAAGGTGTTGCTTGTTGGATCACCATTTTAGCTTGCACTTAGCCCTGTATCAATACTTTTATGTACCAGCTGAACTGTGTCACCTCCTGTTTGCTTCATGTCCCAGTCCAATTTGAGTGTTGAAGCCTTTGACAGACCCATAGCTGGGAGTTGGTGTTCTTTGCCTGGCAAGGAGGGCCTGGACTGTTATCAGGGAACTGCCATTTTGTTGTCCTACTTTCCTGAAAGTGCCACCTTTTCTCTGCCCCACCCTGTCAGGTCAAAGCCGAGCTGAGGCAAATGCAGCTGAAGCTCTCCGACTCCGCCAAGGCCTGTTCGTCACTCACTTCACAGTGGGAGCTCAGTCAGCAGAAGGTCAAAGAGCTGGAGCTGGAGCTGCTCAGGCAGACGCAGGCGGCCAAGCAGCTGAGCGGCCTGAGGGAAAAGATCGCCCAGGAGAAAGCCAGGGCCACTGAGGCTGAGAGAAAGGTCAGTGGCCACAGCTGGGTTCACGGTCCCACGCTGCTTTCGACAATGCCATCCTGAAGAGTTGCAGAAGTATTTGTTTGGTTAAAAAAATTAGACCCTGCTTTGCGCTATGTGCCTCAATGTGGCTTGGTTAAACAGTGGAATTTGCTCCCACAGGAAGCAGTGATGGCCACCAACTTGGATGGCTTTAAAAGAGGGCTGGACCAGTTCATGGAGGAGAGGGCTATTGAGGACTGCTGGCCAGGATACCTGCGCTCTGCGTCCATGGTTGGAGGCAGCAATGCTTCTGAACACCACAGGAGGGGGAGTGCTCTTGTGCTTGTGGGCTTCCCATAATAGGTCTCTGGTTGGCCATTGTGAGAAAAGGATGCTGGACTAGACAGGCCCCCTCTGGCCTGATCCAGCAGGCTCTTCTTATGTTCTTAAGTACTGTTCTTTAATTTCAAACATCCTCCTGCAACCCTCTTCCTGCTTCCTGATCCGTGTCACTGGGTTGTTGTAGCCCATAAAGAGTTCCTTGTTCATTCCTGCTGCATCTCCCACATTGAGGCAATGCTTTGCTTTCTACGTATCTCTTCCTTCCAAATCTCTGCTGCTCCTGAGGCTGCTCTTTCCTCCCCTCCAACTTCTCTGGCAGACTGGGAAGGTGCATCCCATACAGCTGTGACTATTTAGTTCCTAAATTCTTCATGTCCCTTTTGTTAATGGTTACCTACCTGAGCCACTCAGAGCCCTTGCTGTCTCACATCACCTTCTTCTTAGATTTTGGAACTGCAGCAAACACTGAAGGAATCTCACCACCAAGTACGGCTCTCCGAGACCCACGTCTTGGTGAGGAAGCAGATGGAGGAGCAGCTGAAGGAGGCCAGGGAAGAGGAAACCAAGGCCCAGCGGCAGTTCCAAGAGGAGCAGCGAAAAAGGTAGCAGAAATCACCTCAGTTTCTCTTCTGTAAGACAGGAACAAATTCTGTGGTGTAGGGGAATTTGGCCAGCTGATAAGCAGCAGGGATTTGCCCAGGAAAAGTTTGCTCTTTATTCTTTATTAATTATTACATTTTCATCCCACTTTCTCTCCAAGAAGCTCGAGGTGGCATGCACGTTTCTTCTCACTCCCATTTTATCCTCAGAACTCTATGAAGTAGGCTTGGCTGAGAGACTATGAATGGGGTAATCTGCATAGGGCTATTTTGAATTGGATAAGAAGCAAAGGATAATTTGCAATTTTGAAGTGGATAATTTGCATTACCAAAAAAAAAAAGGTGATGCCCCAGAGAGTGATCCAATTTAGCATGTTTATTTTAGTTATCTTTCGTAAACAAAGTGAAAAACTTCAAAACTGTCAAATTTGCCAAATACCATATTTGCAGTTGGCATCCAGTCATTAGGTTATGTCCAGTGCAAGTTCTACTCAAAGCTAGACCCATTGATATTAACTAACATTAGTACATTAGGTACATTAGTAAGTTTACTCTGAGTAGAACTTAGTTGGATACAACCCATTGTTACTAATGACCATGGAAAAATGAACCACACTGGATGATTTCCTGTTTTGCATCACCGGATTTTTCTCCTTGTTGGCTGCCAGGAAGCTCCTGGATCAGCAGACAGAAGATCTGCAGCAGCAGCTCAGGCACTCCCAGGAGAATGAGGCGCAACTGGCCAGGACTTTTGCTGAGCTGCAGATCCAGCATCAGCATCAGGAGGCCCAGTTGCGGATCCTGGAAGAAGAGAAGAAAACCCTCTCCAATGAGGTGAGAAAAGGTCGCTGCTAGGGATGGACAAATCCAGCAATGAATTCAGTTTACCATTTTTTCAATCTATGAAGACAGAAATAATAAATAAGGCTTTTGTGATTACTTAGTGTACAGAAGCAGATGGTTTCAATTTTGTGTTCACTTACCTGTTACTTTGTCTCATATAAAGCAGTGGCTGATAACAATACTGATCCTATTCTATTAAACCAGCCCTGCTACCATCCAAACACTCTCTCCACTGCCACCCACTCCCAAACTCAGCTGACCCCCACCCCAAACTGTTTCCCATCAGCATTCAAACTCCCTTTCAAACGGTTATTCAATCACCAATCACTTCCAAGCACATTTTGTCTTCCCCTCCTAACCTAACACATACTTTAAATCATGTATTATAGTTACCTGAACAATTATCACAGCATCACAGAGACCCTTTCCTACGGTGCCTCTTGGGTGAGTGTATGGGAGCAGGTAGCCCTTAGATGCTCTGGTTCCAGGCTCTGCAAGGTTGAGACCAGGGATTGTCCTTCTAGAACAGCAGCAACATGTGCTCTGTCACAAGTGACCGTCTGCCATCTTGTCCACATGGCTGGCCTCTGGCTGAATTTGGTTGGCAATTGACTGATGACCCCATGCCAAATTTCCTTTTCAGCATCTCCAGTGTCAGAAATACAGCCAGAAGATTTCAGGGCAGCTGTTGGGGTTGCAACAGGAGAGGGAAACCCTCCGGGAAGAGTATGAGCACATCCTGAAGGAGGTGGCCATTTCTGTCAGGTGACTACACAAATGAGATTAAAGCATGGCTGTGGAACCTTTGGCCTGGGGTCTGAATCCAGCCCTCCAGGTTTATCTGCCTGTCCCTTGGGATTATCTTCAGGCCACACTCCTTCCTGGCTCTGCTTTGCAGCCTCCTTGCATACTTTTGTCTGCCTAGACTGTGTCCTTGAACTCTGATCGTGCCTCTTGCTTGCTTGGGTGGACAGCAGAGAGAGGGGTCCCTATGCAGAAACCAGCCTACTGGGCAGTCACTGCTCTTCCCACCTTTGCCTCTGATCTCATCCACCACTGGTTTGTGGCTTCTGGAAGGTTGCCCATTTGAGGATGTAGCCTCAGGCTGGGAAAGATTCCTCAGCCCTGGGCTAATGGCAGGAGTGGCCATCCATAGGGGGTTTCTCCTGCATGCACCAGTGGCAATAAATACTACATGTCTCGAGTCTTTGGGATGGGTCATATGCTTCTTCCCTTTTCATGTTCATCTATAGATCTAAGGGCCACTGATGAGGAGGAAGCCACCCCCTGGCCTGGGTGGAAGTCAGGAGTTGGGTACTGACTAAGGGAGGACAGAGGCTGGGTATGGATTGCCAGGCCTCTGCTGACTTGGCTGTGTGTCTGGGGCACTAGGGCCCCCTTTCTGACGGCTGCGGCCTGTTTTCTCAGGAAACAGAAAGAGCGACAGCTCCGGCATAAGGCCAAGCTCCGGCGAGCGAAGGAGACCTTTATCTGCGAAGTGAAGCAGCGTGATGTCCGCATCAGGCATCTCGAGAACGAACTCAAGCTCTCCAAAAGTCAGTCAGAAAAGGTGAGAGCCCTCTCAGATGGTGGTTTATTTCTAAAAATAATAACAGTAATTGAATTGTTATATAAAAAAAGCTTTCCAATAAAATTTCTTGTTAGATATGTTTTACAACTGCACCCCCAGTCACGTTGGATCATAAATGTCGAAGAAGAAAAAGGAGTTTAGTCTGCCAAAATGCTAGACAAAAAAAGCATGTAGCAGAATAATAACACCAAAATCCCTAATAGAGCAAGACCTTTATTAGGCCCATCAAAATGTCACCATAAAATAATGTGGAAGCTTTCAAATCCTCCAGGTGCCAACTCTTAGATGTTTTCCTGTTTGCTTGAATGCCTCGTGCAAAATCCTGACAGTCTGGAGGCTCCTTGAGTGGGGTCCTTTTCCCCTCTGCAACCATGGTTTGATGGGGTTACAATTCGGGGGGGGGGAGGGAAGAGGAGCAGAGAATGCTGGAAACGTATCCCATGACGGGGCTTCTCTGTGTGGCATCCCTCTTTTCAGGATGCAATGCTGATCGCGCAGGTGACCACTGAGAACGACAGTTTACTCCAAGAAAAGCGGAAGCTCACTCAGCAGCTCCACAAACTGGAGGAAGCGGAGCGGAGCAGCAAGCAGGAACTCTCCACAATCCAGAGCAGGTAGCAGCAGCTTTTTTTTAAAAAAAAAAAATCTTAAAAAAGAATTGCAAGCAATGTTTGGCATTCAGCCGCAGGAGTCATCTTGACCACATTGGTCTCACCCTTGTTGTTTAAAATGTATGAAATGCACGCTTTGTTCAAAGACCTTGTCCAAATATTAAATTTGTCTCCTTTGTAATAGAACAGCCTTCACCAACCTCCCATACACACCTCGCTTGCACAGGATGATGGGAGTTGTAGTTCAAAATATCAGAAAGATACGAGGTTAACCAAGACAGATAAAGAGGAGCACTTGGATAAAAACGAGACAAGATAAATCAGCATCCCATATTTTCATTTCTTTTTTTCCTTTTATAAAATTTCCTTTTATAAGTATTTATTTTAATTGTTTCTTTATTTTTTTATTGTAACATGATGACCATTACTAACAACCCAAAGGTGCAGTAGCAGGGTAATACACCATATCCTATACAAAGCAAGCAAGGAAACAAAAAATAATTAGAGGAAGTGGTAACACACCAATATAAATCAAGATATGCATCTTTCCTGAGCTGCCATGGATGTTGAATGTTGGGCATCTAAGTCTGAAGCAGAGGAAAGAAAGCACCACCAGATGACATAAAAGTGTTTTGTATCTTCCCTCATCCCTCTGCAGACTATTTTTTCCACAATAGCCGAAGTCCATAAATTCTTATACTGCAGATTTTTCAGGGTTTTCCATTGCTGAGCTATTGAAATCCCAGCTGCAGCTAACATCCATGTCAAAAGCACTTTAGAGCAACAAGCTTTCATCTTATTGGTCCATATATTCAGCAATGACAATTGTGAGGAGGCCTGAACAGGTGATTTAATTATTTTAGCTTTCTTCAAGCAGGGAGTGCAAGAACCCTGCCCCTTCTCTGGTTGACGGATGGGGTCAGGCTGCTCTCCATATACCACAATTCTCTTCCCGGGAGGAGGCAGGGGACGTCACCTCCTCCTGGTGACACTTGGGGCCAAATGGAGAAAGGGGAAAGTGGCTCTGGTCCCAGCCAGAGCGACTTCCCCCTTCCTCTTTCCTTCTGGCCCCCGGTCGCTTCTCTCCCTTGCAGTCCTGTGCCACATCCTTTCCCAAAGCTCCGTCTTGGCAAGGATGAACGTGCCACTAAGGCATCTTCCTTGTGGCTTTTTCCAGAGTGCGGCTTCTGGACGAGGAGAACAAGCAGCTCCAGGAATGGACCCTGCAGCTGACGGGTCAGGTTGGGCTCCTGGAGCGGGCACTGAGGAGCATTCATAGCCACAGCTTGGAGGTAAGGATGGGCTGCTGTGGCGGCTTTTGGTCTTCTCCTCTGCAGAATCAGGGCTTGCGGCTCAGTCAGTGTCTTTATGGGCCATCTTATTTATAGGCTTGGGCCTTTTCAGCTGGTCCACCAGGTCTCCGTTTCCTCTCTCTGGTTGCCACTTGGCTCTTTCTAGTAGCTACCTATACTCAGATCACAGCCATGATTTCCCTCGTGGTATTTCATTTGCCACCAAGAATTTCAGTATAGATAGCTAGTCTCTCTCTCTCTCTCTCTCTCTCTCTCTCTCTCTCTCTCTCTCTCTCTCTCTCACACACACACACACACACACACACACTATCCTGTATCATAGCTTTGCCCCTGCTTACTCTGATCACCAACTCCTCTTGCCACTTTGGCAGCATCTGACCAACATCCCCCCCCCAAAAAAAATCTTTACAGCTTCCCCATCTCCTTGCCCATCCACTCCACCCCCTTTTAAATGAGAGGAGGCCGCTGCACAGAGCAGTTCGCTGAACTGCTGGGTGAAGGACCTCTCCCTGCTTTCTTGGGCCGGCTGGCCGTTCCTCACACTGCAATTAGACAGGACTTAGGTCCATTAATTTCATTGGGTCTACTCTGAGTAAAATTGAGTTGGCTGCAGCCCAAAGCATTTATGGATAACAGCCCAATTTCTTCCTCCCTCTCTCTTTTTCTTTTTTTGTTAAAGGTCTTACTTTGTGCATGTTCCCCTTTTCCAGGAGCTGAAGAGTATTGGCTTCTCTGAATTCCAACCGCAAAGCAAAGTTCTCCCCCTTCGCAGCGTAAGGTACTGTGCCCCCGAGCTGTACATGTGGGGGTCTGGGGAGGGTGGAGGGATGGTGGAGGGAATAGTAATAATAGAAAATGCCCTTTGCATGTGCTCAGGTGCATTTGTTTTCTCTGTAACTGCCTCCCATGTTTTCTGGCTCTATGCTTAATATGCATAAAGCTCTGCCAACCTCTTTAGCAGGCCTCCTAGCCTTTCTCCAGGGACTTGGAGATGTGTTTAGGTTCAGTCAGATGATGCTATGAGCCTGAGTGGCCCATGTGAGGCTAATGGTTTCTCTTCCAGCTTCTCAGTGATGGAGCTTTCGGACTCTCACGGCCTTCTGAAAGCTGTCCAGGATGGCAAACCCGAGGACCACACAGAAAGGTCTCTGCTTGCCTCTTTGCCCTGCCCACCTTCGGAGATTGGCTACTTGAACGTGGCTTCTCCTGGGGAAACCTCAGACTTACGCACAGAGGAGCAGAGTCAAGCCTTGTGCTGTGATCACATCTAAGGGGAAAAGGGGGAAATTCCGAAGTGGAATAACAGTACAGAAACCTCTTGTCACTGCTAGGTAGTATTGCTTCCATTTGTCAGGCTGCTTTATCAGACTTTTAGCTTTAAAGAAAACCTAAAGAAAATCTAAAGACCTTACTGTCTTTGCTAAAAATGTGACTTGTACAGATGTAGTTATGAGTCTTTAAAATATTTATTTTTTATTAAAATTTGTAAATGATAACAAGAGAGGGATAGTTTTACATACACACAAAAAAAAAAGAAAACAGCAAAACTGTTCATTCCTTCATTTTTTCATTTGGCATGTCTCTGTGGGGATTCCATACCTTAAGGAAATGCCCACTTGAAAGGAAACTACTATAATTGTTTTGTCTTTTCCTGCTGAATATGCCACATATTATTTTAGTTATAAGTCTTTTATCTTGTGCCAGATTTTTAAATAAATATTCCAGAAATGTATCTGTGACAAACTTTTTGAACAAAGGAGGACTCAAAAGATTGCATCCAACTAAGGTATACTCCAAATAGGCTTGCTGAAATTAAGTCCCGTGGTAGTCATGCCTATTATATTCAGTGTGTCTACTCTGAGTAAGAGTAACACTGGACATACACCTTGGGCCTCCATATGCATTTACTTTCTCTGGGCCCTAAACCCCTGGAGCTTGAATGGTATTGAGATGCTGTTGCCATCTCATACACAGTCAATGCAAAATATGGGAGAGATCACACCATAGGCAACAGGCTTCAGAGGAACACACTTGGTTTCAGTGGTGCAAAGTCCAATGCCTTCCATCTCGTGGAATGGATTTATATAATCTCAGCTTTATCACAGACGAAGGGCCCTTCCAGGTGTTTATTGAGCATTCATCTTAACTGGCTTTCACAAAGCTTATGCAGGTTAGTTTTTTCTTGCCTCCTGGATAGTTGCACATTCATCCCATATTTTCAATGCTTTTCCTGTTGCTTTCAAAACTTGAGGAATTCCATTTTCTTGTTTTTAAGGTGGATTTGTTGAGGTAGGACAGGCTTGGGGAACCTTTCTAGCCTGGCAAGCCAGGTGCTTATGTTCCCCAGCCCTCACAGGCCAGGTTTGATAGTCCAAATGTGCATCACCCAACATCACAATGACATCGCCTGCAGGAATCTTCAGAAGCCCCATTTAAAGCACTATTTTGAGCACCATTTTGAATGAAGATTTTGAAGATCCAACAATACCATGTAGATCACAAGGGCCAAGTTGTAACCATTAACTATCAGTTCATCAGTCAATGGCAACATTCTTCAAAGTTCATCAACACTACATGTCCTTCTGTTGTGCTCACATCCAACATCTTCATTTTTTCCATCTTTAATCTCTGAATGTGTATTAGAGTAAAACATGCACCGTCATGTTTTCCTTGCCTCACTTAAAATGCCACACAGATATATTTGCCACGTGGCTCTGTGCCAACAAAGGAAGCTGCCGTGTTGTGATTTTATCCTGTGAACTGCCCCGAAAACTGCAGGTATAGGACGGTACAGTACATAGCTGTCAACTTTCAGATTTGAAAATAAGGGATCAGCAGCCTCAAAAATAAGGGATCAGCAGCCTCACCTGTCCCAGGGACAGTCTACGGGATATCTAACAATCCGGGGTAGCAGCAGGGAACAGCGCTGGAATAAGGGAATTTCCCCGCAAAAAAAGGGGAAGGTTGACAGCTATGGTACAGTATACAAATTTGATTTTAATTAATTAACTAATTGGGTAGTCAAAGTTAAGAGACTTCCAATGGGTGGGGGGGGGGAGGAATGGAAACTCTTCTCACCACAGCTCCTTAAACGGGTGGAACAGCGTCTCTTCCTTACCTACATATCAGGGTAGCCCCACCCACCCCGTGGTTGCCTTGACGCTGCTGGACTACAACTCCCATCAACCTCGACTGCTGTACACGCTAGCAGGGGGCTGATAAAGAGTTGGTTTCCAGCGCCATACGGAGGGCAACAGGTAAGCCCACTCATCTCTAGAAAAAGAAACAAAAATCCTCCGTCGAAGCTTCGAACGAATAGAAGCGCAACGGCAGACAGGAAACCCGAACAAAGACCGCGAGGCAGCTTTTACTCGGTGAGCATTTAAAATTTCCGGCAAGTAACGGGATGTGACGTCTTTTCCAACCGGGTTCCTCTCCGTGAACCGCGAAGGGGGGGGGGCGAGCTTCCACTTCCGGGTGAGAGGTGGTCGCCATGGCGGTGTTGGCTTCCAATCCTAACAACCCCGTGGTGTTCTTTGATGTCACGATAGGCGGCCAGGTAAGGCTCGCTCGGGGGAGGCTGAAGGGGGGGGAGGGACTGGGCGTGGGGGGGGAGGGAGGGGGTCGCGGGAGGAGGAGGAAGAGGAGGCTCTGACGGTTCTGCCCATGCCCAGGAGGTCGGCCGCATGAAAGTGGAGCTCTTCGCCGACGTGGTACCCAAGACGGCGGAGAACTTCAGGTAAGCCTGAGGAGAAAAGGTCGTGTGTTTGTGTGTGACAGACAATGCGGCATGCCATAAAGATGCGCGGCGAGAGCGGCACCTCTGGGCCTCATGCCGCATAGTCTCCCGGCCTCCTTTTCTTCCGGCAGCCCTTTTATGCCAATGATGGTAGCGGTGGGTAACGAGTGAGTTGCAGGCCTAGAGCGACGCGTCTCGGCCCAGAAGCGCGCGGGAAGCTGCGCTGGTCCCACGTGGCTGATTTCCTTCCCTTTTAAAAAATAAAATTAAAAAATCCCCTTTTCTGTCGAAATCGGCAGGGGAAACACGACACAGAAATGGGGTTTGCCAAGTGGGGTTGCTTAGAAAATCTGATATTGTTTTGTATGGGAACTTAAGGAAGAAATGATGAGTTAGAAAAAGCAGAAGCTCCTCGCTGATGCTCCTTGTTCTGAGCTGGGTCGGCTGGTGACCAGTCACAACTCTGGGTTGCTCTTAGGACTGGCGCTACGGATTGGCCTTGCCCTGTACCTGCAGGGACCCCGTTGCCAACCCTAAAGCATGAATTAACAAACTGCATGAATTAACAAAGGTGAGGAAGCAGCAGATGGGCCCACTCAGGAAGTCCACAGAAGGCATCTTTCTCTAAAGACTGTTGGAAACCAGGAGACTTGTGTGGATTACGTGGCACTCTAAAAGTCACTTGACTGCAACTCACATCATCCGTGGCTATTGGCCATACTGGTTGCGGGCTGGTGGTACTTGTAATCCAGTAACATTAATAGTGCCACAGGTTTCCTATAGCAAAGCTTCCTTATTTTATGCTTTTGTCAACTCTTAGATTCATTAAATGGGAAGCCCCTCAAAGTCTTACTCATTGTGTTCCAATGACTAATAATTTGCTCAAGTAGTCACTGGTTATCATAGTGACTTGGCACTTTGGATTTCCCCAGCCTTTTCATGTTGACTAGAATTTAAATAGAGTCTAGTAAACAATGCAACCACTGGTTTTACTGGCTTGCTCTCCATCCTGGCAGAAAACCTGTCATGGCAAAATGTGCCCATAGGCAGATCTGTATTAAGATAGCAATAAACCTTGATTGGGGGCTGTTTTCTCTCACCACACAGCTAGTTCTTGCCTGCAGGGTTGGATTTGATCAGAGGTCAGCAACTGGCAGCTCACTGGCTGAATCTGGTCTTCACCAGCTCCAGATAAATGCCCTCCCCTCCCTTCCTCAGATTGGTTCAGCCAGTGCACGTGAAAAAATATTATTCCTTATGCCATTCTTCTGGCACAGTCTTTCCCATCTGGTGCCCTCCAGGTATTTTGGACTGCACCTTCCATCATTGCCAGCCTTTAGACATGCTGACTGGGGCTGAGGATTATTATTATTTATTAAATTTATATACCACCCTATACCTGGAGGTCTAATGGGACTTGTAGTTCAAAACTACAAAGGCACTAGATTGGGAAGGCTTCTGGGTTTTCTTCATCTCTTTCCCAGGCAATCTGTCACATGGTGCGAGAAAACAATGAGTGGAAAGAGAAAAAGACTAGACTTACACATAATCTGTTCTTCATGTACAATGGTACCTTGGTTCTCAAACTTAATGCGTTCTGGAAGTCCGTTCCAAAACCAAAGCATTCCAAAACCAAGGCATGCTTTCCCATAGAAAGTAACGCAAAATGGATTAATCCGTTTCAGACTTTTAAAAACAACCCCTAAAACAGCAATTTAACATGAATTTTACTATCTAACGAGACAATTGATCCATAAAATGAAAGCAATAATCAATGTACTGTACTATAAAATAAATATAGTATTGTAGATAAAAATTTTTTTAAAATTAACTTTTTTTCTTACCTGCACTGATGATAGTCATTGTTTGGATGGGGGGCTTTTATCCATTTCTGCAATCACACAATCAATCAATCAGTAGCTGAACTGGGTCCCACACAGTCACAAAAACTGAAAAACCCCCTCAAAAATACAAAATAAATAGCAAAAACAAAAGCACCAAACTTAATCCTTTCTGGAAGTCCGTTTGACTTCCGAAATGTTCGAAAACCAAGACACAGCTTCTGATTGGTGCAGGTGCCCTGGAAACAATAGCTGACAGCCACATCGGATGTTCAGCTTCCGAAAAATGTTTGAAAACCAGAACACTTACTTCTGGGTTTTCAGCATTTGAGAACCAAGGCGTTTGAGAAACAAGATATCACTGTATTGGACTAAACATCTTTCTCTAAATGCAGAGCAAACCTCCATCCTTTCTGAAAGAATATGGCATACCATGGAGGGAGAACATAATGGTTTTTCTCTGTCTTTTTCATAGTAGCCCACAAGCCAAAAAATATTTGATCAGCACTGAACTTAGATTATTATTGGTCCCTTCCTACTTGGTATATACTATTTTGTAACAGAAATAATTTAAAAGTTTTAAGTTGCTTTTCTAGAAATTGCTGTGAATTCTAGAATTCCAACTTAACACTGAATTCCATCTTAACAGTTATTCCAGTATTCAGGAATACTTAAATTTGTGGACCTAAAAAAGAACATCCCTGTAAGTAGAACTAACTTGAAGATTTCTTCTTCTTTTCAGGCAGTTTTGCACAGGTGAATTCAGGTATGTTGTCTCGGTGTAAAAAAATAAGCATTTGAGCAAGCAGGAAAACCTTCATCCCTGTCTGGGTTCTAAAGCTGTGATACATATACTTAGGAGAACCAGAGGTGGCTGCACTTTTCACTGCAGCAGTGCACAACATCAAGGAGACAAACCATTTTAAAGATCAAATGGTGGCTTGTCTCCTTGGAAGAAGAATCAAAACCCCCAAAGAATAACCTACCTGGCTTTGCAAATGCCTCATCTCTGCTTGTGTACAACATTTCTTTGGTTCCGGAGATGTACTTGGTTGTTGTTTGGAGTTTTTGTTTTCTTATCACCTGGAGTGCAAAAGGAAAGGCTCAGAGAGTGACATGGGAGTTTATTTTACAGTGGTCATAAGTCAGCAATTTCTTTGGTGTATACATTCCTTAAGAACTGAAATTTGTAAGTTTGAAAACTGGGATTTTGATGAATTCCTGGATTGCAGAAATACTGTGCCTTGATTTCTCCCTCACACTTTCCCCATTCAATTTAAGCCGCAAGTTCTTATTTCTGCAGTCCGAGTCCCTTGTGTGTTGATGAGTGTTGGTCTAATAAGTCCTAAATATAATTAGAACGCTGATGCCTCTCTGGGTGGTATTTTCTCTTGCCCTTCACCTGGGTGTGCAGACAGGTGTAAAAAGAGCACTTGGCCTCTTGGTTTAATCAAAGCAGACTTGCACTAGGCTGAAGGGGGAGGAGGACACTTTCTGCCCATCTTACAGAAAGCCAGCCTCTCACTTTGTCCAAGCTGGCTTCTATGACCGCTTTCCATATGTAGCCAGATGACCCAGACACATCTGCTGAGGGTCAGAAAGTAGCACATGACCTGCCTTGACCTTTTGGGGCTGGGCAGCCTTTGGCAATCCACTTCTTTGGCCAAAGCTCATTGGTGGCGCACAACTGAAACCACATCTGAGATCTTTCAGGTCACCAATTCAAGACCCACTGCAGATGTGAATGCCTTGAGGACTGGGGTGAGGTAGTTTCTGTGGTCCGAGGCTGCACAACTTCACCATGTCTGTATCTTTGTATTCTAGGAAAGATGGCGTTCCTATCGGCTACAAAGGCAGCACTTTTCACAGGTACATTGCTTGTCTGACTCTTAAAGTGAAGCTTTCGATGCATGGCAACAACCCAATGTTTGGGAAGTGTTGCTCAAGGGGCAAGCCTTGAAGGGTTTCTCAAGAGTTTGTCTTGGATCACCCACTGTTGATATAGAAAACAAGGCTTAGCAGGATTTGGGAACAGCCGCACAAATAGCTTCTTCCCATTCCTTCATTAAAAACAATAGGTGTCTGTTGTAGCCAACATCAGTCCTACTCAAGAGTAAACACACTGAAATTAATAGAAATGGCTTGACCATGGATTTCAGTGGATCTGCTCTGAGTAAGATTAACAACTACTCCAATGCCGGCAATGATCAGCAGGTGGCCCTGTGGGTGCAATTTTGCTCTTTGGCTGGTTGCAAGGCCACTGAAGAACACACAGCCAACTGGCAATCTTCCCAACTGTGTGCTGAAGAGTAACTGTTTTGTCTGTCTAGCCTACAATTTATTTATTTCCCCCACTTTTTCAGGGTCATTAAGGACTTCATGATCCAAGGAGGCGATTTTGTAAATGTAAGTGCTCCATTTTTTTCATTCTGCTTTGTTGTCATCAAGGGGAAGGACACTGCAGTGTTTCCTCTTGGAATCTTACCTTTGGTTACAACCTGTTGCTTGTTGGGAGTGAGGTAATATTATTATTATTAATATTAATATTATTATTATTATTATTATTATTATTATTATTATTATTATTATTTATACCCCGCCCATCTGGCTGAGTTGAACCCAAGTTCAGGCGACATGCTGAGCCAAACCATGGCTTAATCCACAGAAGCAGGGCCAGAGGAGGAGCAAAGCAGCTATGAGCTCCTCTATGGGAGTCTGCATGTTCACCCTAAGCCATGTTTTGCCCAACCAAATATAATTCTGTGGTGGGTGCTCAAGAAAAGCTAACTGAGGCTGCAGAAAGTTTTGTGTAACTGCCCTTAAGCTTCACAAAATAGGTAGTCTGATATGTTCTGGCAGACTTACCTGAATTGGTGCCTGAATGGACAAGCCTTGATATTGCATAGAACACTTCAGTTGTAAAATAAGAGGGAAGAGGAAGTCAAGAGAGGCAGGCACAGACAACATTCAGTTGCCCCACAGCCAACTTTAGATGTTATATCATTTGCTTTAGTACCTTAAAATTGTAAACTTACTTAGGTGCCTTGACAGAAAAATAGTATATACAGTGGTATCTTGGGTTACATACGCTTCAGGTTACAGACTCCGCTAACCCAGAAATAGTACCTTGGGTTAAGAACTTTGCTTCAGGATGAGAACAGAAATCGTGCTCCAGCGGTGCGGCGGCAGCGGGAAGCCCCATTAGCTAAAGTGGTGCTTCAGGTTAAGAACAGTTTCAGGTTAGGAACAGACCTCCAGAACAAATTAAGTACTTAAGCTGAGATACCACTGTAAATGCAATAAATAATCAGCCCACAGCACTTTGATTTAGACCATACACAAAACTCCTCAATTAGCTATTTATTATTACTATTACAATCTATGTAAATCAGGGCAGGCTAACCTTTTTCAGACCAAGGGCCACATTGAGCAGTGGCCAACTGCCCTAGGGCCACAAGTAAATGTGGACATAGTCAAAGGATAAAAATGAGTGTGGCCAAAGTGTCAGGAACAGACCTGGGCAGCCCAAGAATGTGCCTTTACACTTGTATTGCAAAACTATGTTGCTGCTGGAAACAGATTTAAGAGGATGAGCCAAAGGCCACTTGGGGAAAGTCTGTTTTTTAAGGGCGGATTTCAAGGAAAGAAGAGAGGAGGACCATGTAGCTGTTCAGGGAAACAGGTTCCCAAAACACATTTCTGCAAGTGTTCTAATTATGTGTCTGGTTTTATCAAGAGACACTTGTCAGCATCCAGAATAAACAATAAATGAGAACATTACTCACTCCCAATAAAACTTCAGCTGTGGAATTGAGTGCATGACTACTTTCTAAAACAGGGAGATGGCACCGGAGTGGCAAGCATCTACCGGGGTCCCTTTGCAGATGAAAACTTCAAGCTGAAACACTCCGCTCCTGGTCTGCTGTCCATGGTAAGTAGCCTGGAGAAAATTATTGTGGTCCAGCAATTTAATTTGACTTCAGGCTCCCTTTTCTGACCCCTATAAAGGGGTGGGGTTGGCCTGCCATTTGGTGAGCCTTTTAAAAGCAGTGGGACGTCAAGTGTCTTTGGCATGGAGTACCCTACTTGGGCATGATGCTTGCTGAATTACCTTGAGCCACTCACACACCCTACCTTGCAGGGTGACTGTAAGAATGGGATACACCCTACATCCACCACCTCACATTTCAGTTAAATTTGGAAGCAACTTGGCTACATTTGGAACTAGGGTGCAGCTGGGGTTGCTCTTGCCCATGTGCAAAGGTAGCAGTCTCTCCTGGCCCTTAAGAGCCATCAGTTTGTGGCATGTGAGAGCTGTACATGCATTGAAGCCCATGGTGATAATTTTCTTAATAACAAGAAAACCCAACTCCCACTGTAATGGTTTTCCTAAACCTATACTGCTAACACCATTCAGTATAACTTACACCCTTTACCAACCAATAACCCTGTGAGATGTAAGTGTGGGGCAAAGCCAATCATGTCATTAATATATTTGTCAAATGTAGTCATGCCTTAGGAGTCGAATGTTTTGGCTCCCAAACGCTGCAAACCCAGAAGTGAGTGTTCCGGTTTGCGGATGTTCTTTGGAACCCATACATGTGGCACAGCTTCCACTGCTTCCAATTGGCTGCAGGAGCTTCCTTGGTTTCCAACATTTGGAAAGTCGAACAGACTTCTGGTACGGATTCCATTTTGACTTCGAGGTACGACTGTATTTGGACTGTCATTTGACTTCCGAGGTACGACTGTATTTGACAAGGTACTAACATTTATGTTGTAATGCACAAGCTTATGTAGTTACTGTGTCTTCAAATGTGTATATACTTAATACCAGCAGCTTATTTTACAGTACTATGACTAGAGGCAGCTTTGAGGAATCCTAATAAAACTTTTGACAGACTGATCTTATATTATACTCCACCTCAGTCAAACTTCACCAACACTTTAACTGAGAGCTTTCATTGAAACTTCTGTTTCCAGCCCTGCTGAATCCCAGATCTGTTTATGTTCCCATCTTGGCTAGTCAAGTCGCTTGGCTACCCCAGCTACTCTTTGACTGCCAAGCCATTCCACCTTCCTTTCAGGTCTTCTCCTCTCTTCCTCGGTTCTCAGCCTCTGCTATCTTCTTCCTCTGGATGTCCAGCACAGACAGACTCTGGCTAACTAGCACCCAGCCTTATATTCACTTCTTCTGGCCCCTCCCAGTCTAGCCTCAGCCAATCACATTGTCAGTCTAAGAATTCTAAACCAGCAACCACCAATCAGAGTATACATCTCTTCTATCCTTCAGTTGCATACTGAGAGTTCTATCTCCAGCCCCTCCCCAACTGTCAGTTAAGATCCCCCAGTGACAGTTAGTTTAACTTTCAGTTGACCAGAGAAAAGATTTCCTCTGCCAAACACATTACAATGTACATTATAATACAAATAACCAAATACATTGCACGATACTCATTAAACAGTTTTTAAGAAACAGAATTTCTTCATAATCTGTCTGAAACTGCGGTCGTTCAGCAGGGGCTCAGAGTACTTTTGATCTTTCCTGCCATTGTAAAGGTCTGGTGTAGCACCTGCTAAAAGCATTATGGTTTAGTTAGGCATGTCCAGGTATATGTTTTTATCTGTTTTTAGCTTATTCACCCTGAAAAGAAGTGATTTTAATTTCTCTGCCCGTTTCTCAGAGCTTCTGTGCTAGTCGACATATCAGTAGGGTGGTCTTAGGACCACCTTTTATTTATTTGTTCCTTTGGGATCCTGTGCACCAGACCAGCTGTGGCAGAGTGAGGCTGAGTGTTGGCTTTTGCCTTCCATGATTTATGTGGATTCCCCCCCCCCCCCGCTAGGCAAATAGTGGCCCCAGCACCAATGGCTGCCAGTTCTTCATCACCTGCTCCAAGTGTGACTGGCTGGATGGGAAGCATGTAGTCTTTGGTGAGTAATCAGAACAAATTTTTAAAGTCCTACTTTCACGCAGAGCATAATTAAACTGTGGAACTCTCTGTCCGAGGAGACAGTGATGGCTTTAAACAGGAATGGACAAATTCATAGAGGAAAGAGGGTTATAGATGGCTGTGGTCTAACCCAGGGGTCAGAGACTGTAATGCTTCTGAATACCACTTGCTGGAAGCCACAGGAAGGGAGAGTGCTCTTGTGCTTAAGTCCTGTTTGCAGCGTTCCCAGAAGAGGCATCTGGTTGGCCACTCTGAGAACAGGATGCTGGACTGGATGGGGCATGGGCTCTTCTTATGCTCTTAGTTCCAATCTGGGCAAGGACCAAGATCAGAAAAGCTCCTTTAGGTGTGTCCATGGCCTTGGGAGGGCCTGTGGGAATTCTCTTAGTTCCCTCCCCCAAAAAACAACCCAAACCCATTGCCCATACCCATATTGGATCTGCTTTTGAATGATTTCATTCAGTCAGTCAGTCAGTCAGTCATTCATTCATTCATTCATTCATTCATTCATTCATTTATTTATTTATTTATTTATTTATTTATTTATTTATGCAACTTATTCAACCTGTAACACATAGCTTCTAAGCAGCATACAATACAGTTACAAAGGAAATGAAGTAGATAGAATCAATAATAAAAACAGGAGAGTTCACTTATATGCTGGCTGAAATAAAAAGGTCTTTATCGATCATCAGAAGTTTAACAGGAAGGGGGTCTCAGTCAGGAGTTCCACAGACTCAATCCTACAATATCAAATGCACAGATCCTAGTAGATATGAGTTGTGTGTCTGATCCATGGGAAACCCCTAGAAGAGATTCCCCTGCAGATCTCCATGGTCAAGCAAGGCCACATCTGTACACAGTCCCCTCTTGCATTGTTTGAGCTTAATTTTGCTGATGATGAGTTGGAAATACTTGAAAAATTAAAATCATCCTTTTTTCTTTTTTTTTAAACCCGGCAGGTAAAATAGTTGACGGGCTGCTTGTCATGAGAAAAATTGAAGTAAGTATTTTAGCCAGAGAAGTAACTATTGTGCTAATTTGCGGGTTTGGTGCACGTCGGCAGTCGGATTACCATGCAGAATTGGGCAGCTTAGGAATCTAAGTTAAGATTCTAGTCCTTATTGTGGCAGAATGTAAAGCACATGAAGATGTTGACCACCCTGGGCTTGAGTGATCAGGCTTGACTTCTGCTGCCTTTCTGACCATTCTGATCCGTTAACTGTAAATGGGGGTGCTGCTTTACATCATTCAAAGTGGCAGGCAGCTCTTCAGCTCAAAACTGAGAATGATCAGAGACACAATTTTGTGGGTTGCAGGTTTGCCAGTAGAAAAATAAGGTCCTGAAGAAACCAACCAATCATAGATGAGAAAAATTATCTTGAAAATGGCTTGCTAAGGGCTGGGAAAAGCATATAATGGCTCTTCCCAGCAGGGGCTGAGGGTCTCCTAATAATGCTGCCTTTTGCTCCCTCCTCAGAACGTGCCCACCGGTCCAAATAACAAGCCCAAACTGCCAGTGGTGATTGCCCAATGCGGTGAGATGTAGGGGGAAATGATTCTCAAGGTAGGTACCCATCTCCATAGCTGTGATAGCCACAACCTGGCCCAATGAAACTGGGGAGGGTGGATAAGCTATATTGCATATCTATCTCTAGGGACGCGGGTGGCGCTGTGGGTTAAACCACAGAGCCTAGGACCTGCCGATCGAAAGGTCGGCGGTTCGAATCCCCGCGGCGGTGTAAGCTCCCGTCGTTCGGTCCCAGCTCCTGCCTACCTAGCAGTTCGAAAGCACCCCTAAGTGCAAGTAGATAAATAGGGACCGCTCTCTAGCAGGAAGGTAAACGGCGTTTCCGTGTGCAGCGCTGGTGCTGGCTCGCCAGATGCAGCTTAGTCACGCTGGCCACGTGACCCGGAAGTGTCTTCGGACAGCGCCGGCTCCCGGCCTCTTGAGCGAGATGAGCGCGCAACCCTAGAGTCGGTCACGACTGGCCCTGATGGGCAGGGGTACCTTTACCTTTATCTCTAGTTTGAGTAAACAATAAAGATTTTTAGGAAGCTGAATTCTTTCCTTTTATGGAATACAGCATATGCCAAGGGTTGTATTCAGCTAAGTCAGACTCAAAGTAGACCACATCAAATCATCAAACTTAAGTTAATAATGCCCATCAATTTCAGTGCGTCCACTTCTGAATCTGACTTCAGTTGAATGAAACCTTAGTGTATGCTGTGCTCCATAAAAGTGCAGAATTCAGCTCTGTAAGAATCTTAACATTCATTCAAACTAGAGACAGGTATGTACCGTATTTTTCTCTCTATAACACGCAGATTTTTTCTCCTAAAAAGGAAGGGGAAATGTCTGTGCGTGTTATGGAGCGAATGTGTGGTTCCTGGAGCCAAAAAATTAGACAAAAATCAAACCGCGCTTCACGGAGAAGGGAAACCTGGAAAGAGGAAGTGGCAGCTTTCCTGTATTCTGCCTCAGGGTCTTACTGCCCACCCTCCTCTGTTTCGTTGCTGTGATTGCTGAAACGGAACAAAGAGCAGGGAAAGCCCCTCCCCTCCAGGCAAGCAGAGGGGAAAGTGTCGTCTCTGTGCTCCGGTACTGCTGGGGGAGAGGGAGAGAGAGTGGGGGAGGGAGAGGGAGAGGGGGGGAGGGAGAGAGAGGAGAGAGAGAGAGAGAGAGAGATGGCTGGCTTGGGTGGGGGGAAACTTTTGCCTTTCTTTCCTCCCTCCCTCTCCTGCATTCTTAGCCAGCTGCTTCTCTGCACACCCCTCTCATGTCCCTTCTTTGTTTTTCCTTTGCTCCCCACTTAAAATGTGGTTACAAAGCATAGATCTACATGGATCCTCAGGATCTTTGCATTGGGTCACCCCAAATTCACCATCAGATCACATAGCATGTCCATGCTACAGCCTGCCCCCCCAAAATCACGCACCCACTGTTGCCTGGGGCTGCAATGGTGCAAAAACGTGGTTAAAAAGCATGGATCCATATGGATCCTCAGGATCTTTGCATTGGGTCACCCCAAATTCACCATCAGATGACATAGCATGTCCATGGCTACAGCCTGCACCAAAAAAATCACGCACCCACTGTTGCCTGGGGCTGCAATGGTGCAAAAACGTAGTTAAAAAGCATGGATCCACATGGATCCTCAGGATCTTTGCATTGGGTCACCCCAAATTCACTATCAGATCACATAGCATGTCCATGGCTACAGCCTGCACCAAAAAAATCACGCACCCACTGTTGCCTGGGGCTGCAATGGTGCAAAAATGTGGTTACAAAGCATGGATCCACAGGGATTCTCAGGATCTTTGCATTGGGTCACCCCAAATTCACCATCAGATCACATAGCATGTCCATGGCTACAGCCTGCACCAAAAAAAAATCACGCACCCACTGTTGCCCTGGGGCTGCAATGGTGCAAAAACGTGGTTACAAAGCATGGATCCACAGGAATTCTCAGGATTTTTGCATTGGGTCACCCCAAATTCACCATCAGATCACATGTCTGTGGCCACAGCATGAAGCACAAAAATGATACATCCACTGTTTCATTCAGAATGTTTTTTCCCTTGTTTTCCTCCTCTAAAAACGATGTGCGTGTTATGGTCAGGTGCGTGTTATAGAGCGAAAAATACGGTAATTATCACGTAACATTTTGAAAGTGAGTGTGTTGCTCATCTGGTTTTGAAATCCTGTTTCGGCCTGGTGGAGTCTCCAACTCAGACCAATTGCTGAATAAAGATTTACAGTGGTCAAGAGTGGAGGCTACACTCTCCTTGATAGCCCTCACGTTCCCACAACACATTACTAAATAAATTCTATTAAGTACAATAAATGCAGAAAATATTAATCAAAAGGAAATAAGGTTTGTCTGCTGACAACACTCATATACTGCATTGTGTGAGCTGCCTTGGCACAAAATCCATCCTTTAAGACTCTTCTTAGGCTTTGGCAATCACCAGCCCCTACAGCAGGTGTGACCACATCCACAAATGGCATAAAGTCCCACATAGGGTTGACAAGGGAGAATGTGACCCTCCAGCAAGAGTGTTTACCCATCCTGTGGGCTCCCCAGCTACATAGTTGAGTGGATCACTAGTATCTCTGGGTGCTTCAACCCCACATGGACCTCTAGTGGCATTGCCAAGATCCATTCACAAAGCATCTTATTTGGGCTGGAATGTGCTGTTTCTTGTACACTGTGTTAGAGCTGTGATGACAACTGACTCTTTGCCTCTCCCTGATTCCAGGTTAGTCTCTTTCCATCTTGGATCACCATCACCTCCCGATTGTTCCATGTTTTTCCTGTGGTGCTTCATCTACCCCACATTCCAAACTAATTTTCTCCCCCCATTGTAAATAAAGGAATTTGGTTAAGTGTCTGTTGTTCCACTGGAATGCACAAGGAATTGCCAAACGGGAAGAATTATTGGGGCCATTGTCTTGTGACATCAGCAAAGTCCATCGAGTGAGTCATCCCAGGGAACCTGGACTTGGGTCAATTGCAAGTGAGGCTTCCAATAAAAGATTGCAGTGCACCATGCGTCCTGTTCAGGATTCCACCAGGATTCTTCCTGAACTCTCCATTCCATTCCCTCTCCCCCGTTTTCCTTCCCACCCTCCAACAATTAGTCTTCTGGACCACTGAGTATTCTTAGTCCTCACTGGGTTGAGTCCCCCCCCCCAAAAAAAGCTTTTGCCCCATGAAATTTATTTTTGCAAACCACTGGGCTCACTCAAGCCTTGCTGCTCCCTCTCTTTTATGCATTGGTGGTGCTGTTTTGGCTACGGGAGGTATATATGATAGATATGTGTCATTTTATTTTTAGGTGTGACAATCCGTTTTTTTACTCAGAGAAATAGGAAGGAAAAAATCCAGCTGAGAAACCTTGTGTGATTCATTAAGCACCTCTGGCTCAATCTTAAGGGTGTATCCAATGATGTCCTACTCGGAGAGGAGACCTGCTGAAATGGGTGGACTCAAGTTATTGTGTTCATTAACTCCAGTAGTCCTACCCTGAATTGGCCAGGGCCAGAATTGGATACAATCCTCAGTAGACAGCAAAGACAATGCTCAGGAAGTGGTTGTTTGGGTATTTGGACACTGCCTCTCCCCAGAAGAGCAGAGCCAGGAGTATACAGCAACACAGCCTGGTGTTTTCCTTTAGTGTGGGTGTAGCAGGAATAATGGGTTATATCTAACTTTCTCAGTGAAAGAAATGGGCCTAAGTCATGTTCAATAATTTAAGTGGGTATACTCCGAGTAGAATTAGAATTGCACAAAACCCTTTATCTTTATTATTAAAAGCATATCCTAAATTGCCCAAAAAACCAAAAAGGATACAGTATAGCTATAGGTTGAAATAAGCAATTAACTGAAGGAACAGCATGAAAGTCAGCAAAATAATTTGAGGGAGGCAACAGCTTTGGCAGGGGCAGTAGCTAAGCTGCCACAGTTGCAAATGCCTATTGGATCTCACCCTACTTTATATAAAAAAAATATGTCTACCTCTCGATTTTCAAGCAGAGGCTAATGGGTTACTGGGGGAGAGGAAGTAATAGAGCGAACAGATACAGATCTAAAGTGTCCCTTTTGAGAAATCGCACAATACGCCACAAAAGCTATTTGTCTATAACTTTCTGCTAGCCTGTGTGCCTATAACATCCTAATGGGATTTCTGGCAGACCAGAAGAGAGGGATTAGAGCTAGCACTCTCCTAGATTACAGAAATGTCTTTGCCAACTCTTACTTGCTTCCTGTTTGTGGTCATCCATTGACCTGCCCAGTGTGCTGTTGGCAGGTGGTGCCTGCACAGACTTACCCTTCTGACATTTGGCAAAATAGCTTCCTGGCTTGCCAGATACTTTGGTCAGGCAATGACCACAGGGTGTAGATGCAGCTGGTCTTCCATGCTGCTATGGCAGCAGGTTCCATCAGATACCCAGTTTCAAGCACTGGTCTATGGGATACCTGCTGCCCTTTAGATGATGCTGTGCTCCTGTTAGCCCCAGACACCATGGCCAATTCCCCCAGTGAAAACCATGGCCCAGCAACATTCAGAAAGCCAAAGATTTCCCCATCCCTGCCATGAAGAAGGGGAATGGGCAAAGGGTTGGGTGAAGAAGAGAAGCAAGATGCTTCCATAGCCCAATACTGGGATTGAACTATGCTCATAGAATCCGAGTTGGAAGGGATTCCCAAGGGTCATCTAGTCCAACCCCCTGCAATGCAGGAATCTCAACTAAAGTATCCATGGCAGAGGGGCTATCCAACCTCTGGTTAAAAACCTCCAAGGAAGGAGAGTCCACTATCTTCCGGGGGAGTCTGTTCCACTGTCAAGCAGTTCTTACAGCCAGATAGATCTTCCTGGTGTTTAGCTCTTTGTCTTCAGTGTTGAGGAGCACGATCAGAACTCAGACATGTAAAAATAAAGAAAAGTCACACAAGGGTCTGTCTACTCTTTGAAATATTGAGCAACCAGATGCTAGGAGCAGGTGCACTTGCAGAGGGCGCCCCAAATTTGGCACCACTGCTGCCTAAGGGGAAACAAGGCAGAATGGCTGACATTGCATGGCCTGAGGGTGGCAGAGCTGGAGGAGCAAAAGTCTCAGACAAACATTTAAAAGGAAATGAAAGCAGATAGAAAAAGGTGGGGAGAACTTTCAAGGTAAGAACTAGGAGCTGGTGCCTGGGAAGATGAGCTGATGTGGGTTGGACAAAATGTGGTCTGAGTAAGAGGGTCGAATGAATCTAAACCATGCTTATTTCAAAGCCATCGTGTTCACAGGGGCTTCAGGATGAATGGGGGAAGCTAGAATTCACTTTGGCAAAGTTTCCTTGGTTTGTTCAAATATGGAGGGACACAAAGTTCCCAGGCATGTTCAAGGATTGTTAGTAAAGAACAGGACCTTGGGGAACCAGATTCAAATCATACATGAACACAGTTGGACTTAGTTCTGAGTAAAAATTACATGGGGGTGCTTTGTGTGTCATTATTATACAAAATTCTGGTTTCTAACAGGATGTTGATGGCCTTGGTGTAAGGCTGAACAAACCAACCCATCTGTTTTCTCATTAAGGCTGGGTCAGAGCTTGTGAACACTGACAGTCCCAGTCTTCTTGTGGTGGAAGGCACAGTGGTCCAGCATCTGCTCTACATGCAGAAGGTTTGGGTTCAATACCCCATCACCCCAGGCAGAGCTGAGAGACATGGCTTGCCTGAAACCCTGGAGACTCACTGTCAGTGTAGATAGCACAAATGTTCTGACTATATAAGCCAGGTTCCTCTGTTCCTAAGTGATCATAGACAGATAGGTAAAACAAAACTGAGGAAGTCTTTCAGGTGCTGGAGTGAGTTGTTTTACAGTGTCATTCTATGCATGTCTATCTACTAACTAGTCAGTTCCACTGAGGTAAGCGGGCCTCCCTTCCAGGTAAGTGTACATCAGGCTCCGAGCCTTATTGAAGTCAATTGCAATAGAACACTCACATTAGGGAAAATAAAGCCATTTTCATCTGCATGCTGCCGTCCTATGCAAGTATACCCACAATTAAGAACTACATTTAGGTAATTCTGCTTTGGATGCATGAGAAAACTCCATTGAAAACAGCAGGGTTTACTTCCAAGTTAGAAGAGTAATAGCAATCCTTTTGGTGGTTCCCTCTGTGAGAAATTACAGGGAACCAGGCAGAGGGCCTTCTCCGCAGTGGCACCCTCCCTGTGGAATGCCCTCCCATCAGATGCCAAGGAGATGAAGAACTACGTATACAACTTTTAGAAGGCATCTGAAGGCAACCCTGTATAGGGAAGTTTTTAATGTTTCATGCTATGTTATATTTGCTGGAAGCCTCCCAGAGTGGCTGGCACAAGCCCATCAGAGGGGCTGGGGTACAAATAATAAAATTATTATTATCCACTAAGGGCAGATCCGCAGTATACAATTAAATCACATTATTCCCCCCCCCAAAAAAAATATTCCTGGGAATTAAGGGTGCTGGAAATGGTAGCTCTGTGAGGGAAAAACTAGAGTTCTGTAAGGTCTTTGAGAAAACCAGTGCTTTTTTTTCCTTTAAAAAATGTTTAGGGGTACTCTCATTTTCTTATTCATATCGAAATACTGCCCCCCAATGAAGCCAAACTTGGATTCACAAAATGTTTACGGGTATGCGTACCCCTGCATCCCCCCTGAAAAAAGCATGAGAAAACCCATGTGCTTTTGTTGTTGTTTACTCGTTTAGTTGTGTCCGACTCTTCGTGACCCCATGGACCAGAGCACGCCAGGCACTCCTGTCTTCCATTGCCTCCCACAGTTTGGTCAAACTCATGCTGGTAGCTTCGAGAACACTGTCCAACCATCTCGTCTCGTCCTCTGTCGTCCCCTTCTCCTTGTGCCCTCAATCTTTCCCAACATCAGGGTCTTTTCCAGGGAGTCTTCACTTCTCATGAGGTGGCCAAAGTATTGGAGCCTCAGCTTCAGGATCTGTCCTTCCATGTGCTCTAGATGTGCGTTGAATGTATTTAAAATGTTTAGTGTGGAGCTGCCCTAAGGCTCTGGGGTGTAGAACCACAGGTCCTGAAAAGCGGATGGTAGCTATGCCCTGGTTCTGCCCCGCCCATGCCCTTTTCACTATCCTGGCTCCACACCATTTTCGGGAGACTTCTGCACGCTACAGAATAGCAAGAGTGCTGCTTGCTGGGGCGAGCAATGCGTGGGTGGGATCAGGAAGGGAAATATCTGAGGGGAAGTAGCCTCCCATACAAAGGTAAGAGTCGCACCTGTTGCTCCACCCACTATTGCCCCGGCTCCGCCCACCCTTGCCACGCGGCCCTTAGGTGCTGGCCCGCGAGGGAAGGAAGCCTTTGGTCTTCGAAACCGGTTCCCCACCGCTGTTCTGCCACATTTACCCGAGAGGCAAACCCCTGTGAAAATAACGATGGCTGAGTAAACACACTGAGCGACAAGAGGCCACGATCTTGTGCACACTTACTGACTAAACCACATGGGACTTCTGAGTAAACGTGGGCGCATGGGCAAAGAATGTATAGGCCTTGATCGGGGAAGGGCGGCAGCGGACCCACAAGGCAAGGGGACCTAGGTTCCCTCGGCCACATGGTCCCCATGTAGGGTTAGGAAAGGGCACTTCCTGACTGTGCCTTTCCCCAAAAGGGAGAGGCAGGAAAAGGGAGCGCTCTCGCCCAATCACCACCCGAAACCCATCGACTGGCAGACTGTGCGAGGCAAGCAAGCGCATGTTACAACCTATCTACTCTTTTCTCAGAGGGGAGGGAGGAAAAGAGGACTGGAGCCCAGCGAATGGCCGCGCGCGGCTACTGACAGACGGGGTCCCGAGGCCAATGTAATAGGCCCGAACGTTCA